TTACGTTTTGATAGCGCTCATATCTGTCTTCGGTGTCTATCTATCTGTTTCTACCAGTGCGTCTGGTTCTGGTTTTCTCTTTCTTCCCACTGCTCCTTCTCCTTCTTATTCTCATTCTCGTTCTACATCATATTTTCTCTTTGTGGTTTTGTTTTGTGTTGTTGACACCGCGCATTATAAGATATTTCCACGCTGCTTATCACAAGAAGGTGATAAAAAAGCAGAAAAAGCTAAAAAAAAATAAGGCAAAAAATGATGAGAGAGTCACACAGTCGCTGCTCTCTCTCTCTCTCTATTTCTCTCTTTCTCTGGCTGGCTGTATAGCTAATTATACGCATACAAATACACAGATACATAGATACACAGATACAGATAGTTAGATACCTATAGAACTTGGCTAAAATGCTTATCTTTGGAATACATTTCTGTCTGCTGCCTGCTGCCTTCTGCCACAGAGCTCCAGACTCTGTTGAATTGGCCTTTTGTCATGGCATGAGCCAATGACAAGCAAATTGGCCAGCGGCTGCTGCACTTGACCTCCTCCCCTCTCGTCGACCGTCTCCAGTCATTCATCCATCCAGCTACAGCTGCCACTTGAGCTGCCTCATCAAATCTCGCCCCCATGCCTTCCGCACAGCAGAGCACAGCAGAGAAGAGAACTTGCCTCCTCGTTGCCGTCTTTCAATTGTTGCAAGCTGCACACTTGAGCAGATCCCGCCTCTGGCTTGTAATCCCCCTCCCCAGCTCCTCCCGTACACTTGACGCGTGTTGAAGGAACTCATCATCCAAGATGCCTTACAGTTACAGTTCAGCCCCCCCACCCCCCACATTCATCCCATTCCAGCCATTTGTGGGTGTAAGCCCGCAGCTGCAGCTACACAGCCAGTGCTGGCAAATATAATTATTTGCATCATTTGGAATGCCAGTAATCAGATATTGTATCCTCGCCTACAAGTAAAATATATCTCCAGTAAAATGTCGTGTTTCTGGAGTATTAATACTCATTTGATAAGGTCACTCCCTCGTCTCACAGGCAATCCGATAAAGAATCTCAGCCAGTGCAGAGCCACCACAAAGATTGACGTCATCCGCTCAGAGTGCGAGCACAGTGGGAAAGAGTGGAGAAATACTAAAGTAGAGAACTGCATTTCACCAGAGAAGAACCTGTTGCCAGGGTCTTACGGGCGAGAATTGCATCATCGATCGATCGATTACTAAATCTTCTAGCCAAGTTAACCATAAATATGACAAAGCAGTGGGAGTGGAATTTTCCCCCGTTTTTCGCCCGTTGGCATGGACTTTGGCATGGAATAACAGTTGCTTGGAACATGCTCGAAAAGTCAATACGGAAGAAGGGCCCACTCCAGCGGTCTCCACACCGAAATCAACAAACTGAAACAGTCAACAACTTGAAAGGCACACTCAAAACTTGGCTCTGACGACAACAAAACTACCAACGAGAAGCGTAGTAAACAGCAATTGGCAAAGCAATTACAAGTAGCTCTGAGGATAATTGCAAGTAACTGTATTTGGGGCATAAAACTGTTGCACAGTTGCACCACACACTCAGAAGCGATGAGGGAAACGACAAATGGAAAATGTTTCAGTCGATATTCCGAATAATAATGCGGTTCTAGGCTAAGTCACGGTCTCTTTCCCTCTCACAGTGTTGCTTGGCAGTAAAGGTTGCCAATATACCCCGTGTACAGGGTGTGCATATAAACCAAAGGGCTCCTTAAGCGATTCCGACATGAGTATTACCGAGTTTGGCAGTTGCAAATGGAAATTTGCCTGCTGACCTAACTGACTCACTGAGCGAGCTCACACACCCACATGCCGCATGCCACATACCACATGCAATTCAGTTAGACATCTGCATATACGAATGAATACGAACCGTATACGGGACACAATTGTTAAATCGGAGGCAACAAAAAAAAAAGTAATTCTACTTTGACATGCAAACTCGTCGAAAGCGTAGCGTCTGAGCCCTAAGCCCGGAAGCCCTAAGCCGTGTAGCCGTGAAGTCCTGGCCCTGGTCTGCCCTGGCCTGGCCTGGTCTGGCCCTGACGTCAGCGCAAGGAAACTTTTTCGAAATGCGATTTCTGAAACTTTGTTGCTCTTGTTCGAGCTTTCGCAAACTTGTAATTAAAATGTGCAATCCGTCGTCGGCATAGCAGCAGCAGTTCGCCACTGAGGCTGTGGGGGCTGGTGTCGCAATCCGCGAGGTGAGGTTCATTAGCCAAGGCGATAAGGCAGGCAGCAGCAGCAGCAGCAGCTGAAGCAGCAGCCAGGCAAAAGTTATTTAAACTTCTCTTATCAACCGCTTGTATCGCCATGTACAGTTCATTTACACCCCACAGCGATTATCCCTGAGCCCCGACTACGGCTTCCCACTGGCCCCTTCCTTCATTCCCTTTGAAACACATTCATCTCAAGGGGTTGCTACGGGCCTGTGCCTGCCTCTAGAATGGCATTGATTAGAGGCATTGGTGGGTAGCCCGAGTCAGCCATGTGACAAATTTAATTAATTATTATTTATTGTCTAGAGTATCCTCACTCATATGCCCAAGGCTGGTCTGATTCACGATTTACATTTGGACACTGCTTATCGGCTTATCGCTTACAAGAATTGCGTCATTCCTTTCGCTGTGATAGGGACTCTCAGTTCATCAAAATTGGACTTGGTATTCAGTTTGTAGATTATTCTGACGCACAGCCCGTGAAATCAATTGGATTAATGACTTTAAGTGATGACAAATCTGTCATGAACCGAGGGATGAGTACTACTTGTGTTCGATTTCTATAAATAGATATTTGCCAGATTAACTAAGCCCAACCCCCCACCAACAGATAGTGTGTGTGTGTTTATTGGACATTGAACAGCAGGTGGGGTGAGGGGCGGAGGGACACTGATTGTGTCTTTGGTTCAATGTCAATCGGAGATGGAATGAAACCGCAACAAAGTTAAGGGGCAATGCAATTAATTTATAGGTTGCCCAGAAGTATTTTTCCTTTCAGACCTTGTGCCAAGAACAAAAGTTTCCATAGTTAAAGAGAAAAACTAATTGAACTTCAATTGCTAATCAATAATCCCCCAACCACTTACGTAAATCAAAAACCAAACATAAACGTTTAGGGTGAGGCCCCTCCTTGTAATACGCCTTATTTACGCCCCATTCTCTGGCCCAATTTGTGTTGTTGCTAAAAATGTTAACCCTCAGTTTAGAGCTGTTAAAGTTGATAGCATCAGATAGGGGTATATGGCACATACAGACATACATACATATGTACATTTTTTTAAGCGATAAGATAAAACCCCCAACCGATGAACGAGTCGAACAAAAAATATACTTTTTGTTGCCTTTAGTTTTCTTCATTTCTTTCTTGAAAGGAAGATAAGCAAAAATGGGGAATGGGACTGGGACTGGAGAATGGGACTGGGACTGGGGAATAGAACTGGATCTGGGACGAATACAAATGAATATTATAATGCGTGTCTGTGTGGCAGGATTTGATAAGTTTTTGCCCGATTAGATTGCACACGCACAAAGACAAAAGTTAATGTCTTAATTGGGCTAGCAAACAAGGGCCGAATTGCCAAATTGGCTTTAATCTTTTAGGTGGAAAGTGTGGGCTGGGCGGTGGGCAGATTGAGTGGCGTTTATGGGGCCCCAGGCAACAGAACACAGAAGCAGCCGCCTCAAGTGTTTGCACTAACCGTCTCTCAAGTGCTGTCCACTTGGACATTGAACCCCAGAACCACGAATCCACGGACCCAGTCACGGATCAATGTCGGGGCCAATCTTTAATCGAACAAGACAGTTAAATCATCTAAATTGTCTGAACACTTACAGCTTTTTTTGCAAGCTGTCTTTCCACCCCCCAAGGGTGCTTGTACTGAGCGTGTGTTACCCTGTGTACTTTGCCTCTGCTTTTGCTTTTCTTGTTGTTTACTGCTGGAAATCAACCTCGAACCCCATTGCCGATAAGGGAGCTGCTTGAACCTTCATGGGTGGGCAGTGGGCAGCAGCAGCAGCACCTGACAATGACGGGCAAGTCAACAATTCGGCATTTAAAATGAATTAGCGCAAAAACTAATAAACAAAAAAATTAGCCATGGCCCCTGAGAGCTGATAAGGCGGGAGCCTTGCAAATAGAATAGAAACTCGAAAACACTTGCTCTCTCTCTCTCTGCACTCCTCACCGGCTGATAGGCTTAGCCGCCGCACCCTTGGATGGAGAGGGTGTCAACAGTTCCAATATTAAATTTAATTTGAGTTTTAGATTGAATCGAGTGCAAAAATAACACAAAAAACAAATTTAGAGTGGCATTAAATTAACATTTTTAAACAACTTTTTTTTTAATGGTTAAAGGTCTTGCCCCTGCCTTACAAATTCCATCATTAAAATGAAATGAGAAAATTATAAGGTGTCATGAAATGTTTGCACGCTTCGTACATTCATAAATAAACGTAATAATTTACGAGAGTTAATTAGCTACTAAAGGTGATCTAATACCCGTTCTATTCCCTTTGGTTGTGGGGCGTGTTGCCTGCCGACAAGTGTTTGCAAAGTGAAAGCCCCTCATGATCTCAGGGATCCTCCTACATCTTACATATACTATGCGGCACGCTTAGAAAAAATTGCATCATATTCCATGAGCAGGAGTGGGATAGTATGAAGGGCGGACCACTCGAAGAGTAGCCCTTAAGGGAGCAACTGTAATATTTATCAAGCGATTATGGCGATCATTTAAGGGTTAGATTGTCTATGAAGCTTCTAGTTCTATACTGTTTTTGGAAACATCTCTGAAGATTCCTTCGGAGTGTAGTTTTTGCGGTAATAGGTTTATTTTACTATAGAAGACACTTCTTTTTAGGCTTCTCTTTCCACAAGGGTTTTTTTACTCACTAACCATCTGGAGTTTCTCCTAGTTTGGGCGATCCCCTATCCACCATATACTACTTTAGTTTTTAGTTTTCAGTGCATTCGCTCACCTTCTCTAGGCACTCCTGTCCATTGGCTTTCGGATCCCATTTGACGGCCTGTTGTGTGCCGTTTGGCAAGTTAACAATGCACCACATTTTGTTGTTGGTTGATATTTGCTAGCTGGCTTGTGTTGCACGTTGTTTAATGGTTGATTAGTTGTTGAACAGGTAAAAGCGCGGCTCAACGCTGGTAAGTGCCTGCAGCTTTATGTTTGAAACAATTGCATTTGTTCGGGTTCAATTGGCTTCCGCCTTACGCTCCTCACAGCTTACACAAAAGCCAAATCCAAAGCCAAAATCAAAGCCAAAGCTACAGGTTGCGCTGTATTTGTTGCTTTTGTGTGTGTTTTGCTGCCGTTGGATATTTTTCAATTTGCGCACGAAATCCAATTAGACTTGGGTATTTGGTTCAGTTTCAATGCCCGGTATCTTGGGGTTCGTTCCCTTTGTACGGGTATTTATTCTGTTACCTTTTAAACAATTTTGCACTGATTTTTGTTCACATTTTAGCGGCAGAAACGCACGCACAAGTTTCACTTTTAAACGTTTTGATTGTTGTTGCTCAGGTTTTTTTTTGTATTGTATTTTTACGCACAAATTTTATTTAAAATGATCAAATTCACGATAGATAGATGCAATTTCAACTGAGACTGCGAAAACGTCCGGTTATTCGCGTTCAAATAATAGTATCAAGAAAGGTGTTAAGCGCAGAACCGCTCGATTCAAATAACGGGCGACTTTTGAAAAAAGCAGTTGGCCGGCAACAAGAATATATAAGGTGTATAGTATATGTGCGTTCGTAACAAGAGAGCGCTCTCTTTCGCTGTATGTTAGCTTAACAGAGTTTCCTCCTTGGCAAATCGTTTGAATCGTGCGCTCTATTGGTACAACCGCAAGTCGAGAGAGACAGTAAGAGCTGTTAATGTCAAGTCTTACGTTCTCTGTGGATTTGTGCCACTTTAAGAGCACGCACTAAGAGAGATTGCTGTTGCTAACATTTCATATTGTATGTGTGGAAAGGTCGTCGTGAATGTGTGTTTCATTCAGCTGCTGTGCTCTTCTCTCTTTCTTTACTTCAGCTGTTGCTTTGTTATTCCGGCTTTTGTTATCAGATTTTTGTTGTTTTGTCGCTCTGCAGGTAAATTGTTCGACGACACGGGCGCATGTGCAACTCTCTCAATGCAGCAGCTGTTTCCCTTTCCCTTTGTCCGGTGTTTTCTGCATTTATGTTTTGCGACCTGCACAATGCAAAGACAAATGGATTGGCCTTGTCGGAATTGTTGATTATGGGATGGGATGAAATGGATAAGGGCGGGCAATGGAATGGGAGTAGGAGAGTTTAGATCTTGGCATTTATTGCATACATATGTACATATGTATTTATGCATGTAAATATGTATGTATGTATGTTTACTCTAGTTTCCGATTGCCAGGCATTTAAATATTTTACAGATATCGTATTTATGATCTGATGCAGTTGCTCAAGGTATGCCAACACCCACTATATTCCTGCTTAGAGTGTTCTATAAGGAGGATCCACTAATATTAGAATTCTATGTCATATAGCTGCCATAGGAATGATCGGTGTGAAAGGGTGTCTTCTTCTTGATGGAATATGCATGTCATAGGATGTTTTGCAGAAGCCGTTGGAATGTTACAGACACATTCCAACTGACCAACATTATATAGTATGTAAATGCTCGTATATTATGGACATATCTGCAGGCCAGAGAAATGCACACACCCGACAGGTGACACAAACAAGCAAGGGCGGGCCCACATGCTTGTAGTAGCTATTGTAAGGTCACGTTTCCCACAAATCCCCCAGCAATATCGAAGCATGGGTCTACAAATGACTTTGAGGACAAATGAGGGTCCATTTGGGGTTTCATTTTCGGTTTATATATGTACATAAAATCAATATCACTGCAATGCCCATCGGCAAATGACAATAGACAATGATTGAGCGACGCAACTGATGGATGGGGCGAGAAGGGGGCTGGTTTAGTGTCCGCCCAAGTATCGAAATTTAATTTGTATAACCTTTGCCACAAAATATGCAAATAGAGAAGACCCTCCTGGGCTGCAGCTGCATAATGCATCCAACACTTTTGACATGCATATGTACATACATTTAATTGGATATTGTGGAAATCACATGGACAGCAGTGTTTAAATATGGCTAAATAACATGAAAGATTGTTAAGGGTGCAAAGTGCATTTATATGCTTTATTTATTTATTTAAAGATAAAATCGTGCAATTTATTAAAGAAATTAAACTCTAATTGTTTATTCAACAAATTATAGTTCTACATTTTTTGTTTATTTCACAACATTGAACTGCAAATAAAAATGCGTACATGGAACTAAACATTCCTTGATGTCCATCGTGTTCAGCGTAATCGCACCAGTTGGTTGCTGACAGTTGGAAAGATTTTTAAGGAGTACATTTATACGCTGTACTTAACGATTTATCCGTGGAAAGGAATAACTTTCAGAAAATTGCATTGTTATATTTGAAGCCGTAACCGTTTAGTTTGTACTCTACGCAAGCGCTTGAAGAAAGCTGTATTTATTTAGCGGTAAGCACACACCAGTGAAAAGCTGTGGAGACAAAAGCTTTCGTTCTCTATCGGAAATTTCCGAGTCGATTCGAAGCAATGTAGAATGTAATAAAGTGTAAAAATGGGACACTTTTGAATGTACTTTGTACGAGACACAAATTGGGTTGTAGTCCGAGATGAGTAGATCACTTCCTCACACTTCGAATTGGAAATATACCCACAAAATACTTTTTAAAAATTAAAAAACCGCGATTAAGCTATTAATAAATAAAATTGTTAAAAGAATGCCAACAGCACGCTTACTTTTAATAAGTGTACCCCATTTTATATTTCACCAAGCAATGTGTGTTTAGACATTTTTGTACATATTTTACATGTAGCAATGAATAAATTTTAGTTCATTTATGGGGGGTACTGATAAGGATACGGTACGGATATTGGATATGATAATTTAAGGCGCCCTATTGATAATCAAATCTGAAATTGGAAAATAAAAGAGTCAAGTCGGACGAATATTTATGGCTGAAATTGGACCAATAATAACACTTCATGAGACGATAAGAAAGTCTGTGACTTACCAAAAATTGTATCATTATACTATTGTATCTTTACTTCGGTTGCACACATGCCGGGGATCGGATCATGGAACGTGATCATGATTATGCTATTGGACTTTGAGCCCAACCAAAAGCACTCCAGAGTCGTGTGGGTGGAATGATTTATGAATTTTTGGAGGCTACGAAGGTTAGCATTAATTAGGTATAAGTATAAGTCAGCTGATGAAAGCACTCATCCTGGACGGAGAGACGAAGACAAACAAACAGTGGCAGTGGTGGGTGACCTCGTTCTGATAAGAGATTCGATTGATTCGCCGGGTAGGCGGCGCTTCGGCCGAGAGGCATTTTGTAAACATTCTTATTTATAGTCGCCAACGAGCAATCTTCAATCGGCTCTTTGTGGCTGGACTCTATAAATAACAGACTAACAGTTTCCTTGTATGTCTGCGATCCAGCCAACCCACGCCACACCCACATGGCAACAGCTCCTCGAAGCAGTTAATTTAGTCAATAATGACGATTCACGATTCACGAAGCATGCGACGAAAGACTGGCTATTTTTTTTTTTCAAATTTGAAACATTTGTCTCATGCTTCACGATTTATGTTATTTGGCATGTGCAAGATCTGAAGATCTTATGCTTGTCTGGCGAAATACTATATTGGAGCGGGAAGCACCAGAGAAGCTCTCTGTACGAGTGAACTAATTAAGCGAAATCACAAATGAGCACATTATTGCGGATGATTGCTATAATCTTTTGGCTCCAAAGTTCATTGTCTGGGCCAAGGAGTCGTTGCTCATTATTTATTGCCTATAGTCAAAATTGGTTCACAATGGCAATGCCCCGTCTGGTATGGTACCTCCTTCTCAGGCGGCTCGGCTCTCTCCCAAACAAGAGATCAATATACATACATTCATTAGTATGTATGTATGTATATTTGACTAACTTGATGTAAGCACTACTTTACTTTGTATTGATATATGTACAGTGGATGGATGGTATTACAACCAATGACAATATAGATGATTCGATTAGTCTAATCAGCAAGGGAATTGCATTGTTTGTTTGCTTGGTTTAGTTATTCAGCTTGCTTAATTACTTCAAACTGGGTCTTCAAATATGGACTATAGAATTCAGGAATGATCTGCGTGTGCAATCGGTTCCTAGACTCCATCCGGTGGAAGCTCCCCTAACAAGCGAAATTCCCCGGAATTCCAATTCTATCTGATTTGATTGATAGCTACGACTACGAGTATTTTGTTGTACATTGTAAAAAGGGAATTACTTACATTTGTTTTGAAATTTCATTAAGCAAATGATTAGAGCAAAAGGTCACATCAGATCTGATTTGTTTTCCAGATTGTTCCGTTCTTTCAGCTTCTGAGTCGAACCCTTTTTTATTCAAGCCTAGTCTAACATCTTTCCCTTCCCTTCAGTACCTTCAGTCATACGTATACTAATCATGAATTATGTATTTGTTCACTGGAAATGCGGAAAAAATAAACCAATTGAAAAAGTTTCCATATTTTTGTTGTTATTTGAGACGGGGGATTTACAATTTACAATTTTCCTGGAATCCCTGATATGCAATTACAGACATTGTTAGTTCGACATTAATTAGTTTGGCCCGATATACATACGTGTATGTATATAAATTTGAATGAATTAATACGTATTTGGAAAGTAAACAAGATGGGCCAGGTCAGTGAGATCAGCCGGGGAATGCGTGTGCTACGAGCATTGCGAGTAGTGTGGCTGGAGATTCCGTATTATTGCCGGAAGGGAATTCTGAATGGGGAAGGCATTGCATCATGATCAGTGGCGTATGGGATCTCAGGCCTATCTATCGGTTGTAATCAGTGTGGTGTGTAGTGCCCATGAAAATCAGCATTATCAGCAACATGATGTTTCACTAATTGTATGTGTTCTGTGTGTGTCAGCGCAGCATGAATGTGTAGTATGTATGTACGAGTATATGTACGTGGAATATGGAATGTGGAGTGTAATGAATGAGATGCAAAATGATCAATGGCTCGATGGGGTTACTTTTAGCACTCTTTCTTGCACTGTTCCTTCTCGTCCTTTGCCGCAATATTCTCCTTGGCATAGGCGATGCCCTTCTGTATGCTTTTCTCCAGTTCGGGCAGCATTTGCTCCAGGGACTCTCGCTCAAAGTCATCCAGATGCGGCAAGCCCAGGTTCTTCTCGATCCCCTTGGCACTCAGCATCAGGGGTGTGGAGAAGAAGGGCAGACAAGGTGACTTGTAGCCCACATAGGCGCACTCCATCACATCCGGCTCCTCGTTGAGGCCACGCAGCAGTGAGTTTACAAAGCGGGCTGCCGCATAGGCCATCGACAGCGTGGCTGAGCCAGTACCGGCCTTGGCAATCACCACCTCGGTTCCGGCCTCCTGGATGCGATGCGTCAGGCGCCTTATATCCTCCAGCTTGCACTGGAAACTCGGACAGCACTGCGAAAATATGGGCAGTATGGTTTTGCCGGCATGGCCCCCAATCACAGGCAGATCCACCTTCGCTGGATTCAGATTGAGAAAGTCCCCGACGAAGGTCCTGGCGCGCACCACATCCAGAGTGGTGATGCCAAACAAACGCCGCGGATCGTACGCATTCTTGGCCTTCAGCAGCTCCGCGGCAATGGGCACGATCGAGTTGATTGGATTGGTGACAAACGCCAGCAGAGCCTGAGGACAGGACTCGCTGACGGCGCAGGCTACGCGCAGGGCCACCCCAGCATTCGCTTCGAACAGCTGGTCCCGGGTCATTCCCGGCTTGCGGGGCAGTCCGGCGGGCACGACCACCACATGGGCACCAGCCAGGCAATCGCCAAGCTGCTGGTCCTCGAACGCATTCGTCTGGACCGAGGTGCAGATGTGCGACAAATCCGCCTCGACGCCCTTGATGTTTCGCATATCGTGGATGGACAGCTCGCACACCAGAGGATTCTGCTTCAGGAGCAGGCTCAGGGGCTGACCAATGCCACCGCTGGCACCCACCACAGCCACCTTGAACTCACGGCGTATGCTCCGCGGATTGAGTAAGCGCTGCAGCAGTCCCTTGCTTTTCCAGACCAACATTGTGCCGTTTTCTGATTATCAAAATTTCACTACTATACACAAATTTGTTCTACAATCGTTTTGCAGGCTGAACGGAATATCAGGGGGCTCTAGATGGAGTAGTCTGTCACTCTCTGCACTATCTTTGATGTACAGCCCAGAACGTGCGTGCCCAAAGTTGCGTCGCTCTTTGCGATTGTTGTAAATTCCGAATCCCGATCTGATTAGGATGGGTGGGAAAAGCCGCGCACGCTCCAGACTACCAATCTCCCACGCCGAACCTTTAGGCTCCCCCCAGCCAAAGCGAGACAGCCACTGCCACAGCCGCACCTGGGGCTGGACAGCCGAATGCTGAGGCACGATCTCAGACGCCTTCGGTTCGTATAAAAAGTAATGCTCGATGATCGCTGATCTTCAGTAGCGGGCAGCTAGGCTATCAATTCGTATGGCAAAAGCATCTATAAAAAGTACATATATGTGTCTATATATTGTATTCAAGCAATCAAAATTGTCGTCTTAGTTCGCGGTATTCTCCATCAACGGAAATTGAGAAAGTATTATAAATAAAGCCACCAACTCAACCAGCAGAATGGCTCAGAAAGTAAGCAAAAATTGTGTTAGCTCTTGAATGATAATTGGGATCCAAAGTCTAATGACAATGTCCAACGATTATCGGCGTTGCAAATACTCGTAGAACATAATCAAAAACATTACACTGAACTTTGCATGGCCAAAAAAAAAGTGAAGTAAACTGAAGAATCGCAGACTATATATACAGTTATCTATGGGATTTATATCAAACCACCAATTTCCATGTGTATGGGTCAATCGCCCAAAGTGAATGAACTCGATTTAATTTGCAGACTTCCGTCGAAGGGAGGTACAATATCATGTTAATTGAATCTCCGATTCCCACAATTTGTGGCAATAATTTACCTTTAAATTTAAACCTGTTAGAACTGACGAAAAGCAACAGAAATTTCACTTGGCTTGTTTGATCTTGCATTAACTAGCAACAGAGAGTAAACCACTTTAAACTTTAGCGCAATCTATTAATGAGAGTGCCAAAATATTGGATCCTTATATGTAGGTGACATTGGATCGATTGATTTCCAAGAGTCTGCTTTATTTTTTTTTAATTTCATTTCAAACAACATTTTGATTAAGGGTTTCATCATCTTTGCAGATGTTCTACAATATACTGCTACTGATAGCGACACTGTTTCTAATCCCCCTGAACGGTGGAGTAAGGGCGCGACCCTCGCCAGAGGAGAGCAACACAAAAATGCTCGTGGATCCCAGTGAATACAATGGGAATCTATCGGTGGAGACCATCAGGAAAGGTGCAGCAGTGCGAAATAAATGGCTCAACCATGGAGCTGTGCATGCGCTGTGCCAAAGTCACCAAATCAGAGATCATATATCCAATGTGCTGTAACAACGATGATGGCATCAAGGACTGGTGTCACGCCTATGTGTATTACGGCGACGATGAGGGCTACTAAGCAGGAGCGCTAGCAAAGGATCACGTGGATGTGGCGTGAATTGTGAATGAACAAAATCTGAAAATCTAATTATTTTGCACTCCCGCATGATGGATTGGCTGTGATACTATGATGTATTTAAATTAAATTATATTTATTTAGGAATAAACAAGACATGGCTAAATTAGCACAAACATTCGATGAAACATGTTTTTTCTTACCCATGAAAACGCTTGAATGTATTTTCAAAATGCTCGTTTTTTATTGAGTTCTCATAAATTGTTTCTGTTTTGAATTTGTTGGTAAATTCAGTTTGGTGTGTGTTTTTCTTTTTTTTGAAAACTTTATAATAATTACAAATATATAATGACTATTTAGAGTGATTGGAAAATATAAATGAATATTGGCTTTAACGTTCCTACGCGAATGAAACTTAACGAATATTACAGTTCTGCGCTTCTGTTGCCTTTTTGCGATTCATTTCGAATTTCCAATTTGTAGATTTTGTGGCAAATAATAAGCAAAATCAAAATCTTACTAGAACGAGTAAAGTCAGTAAATGCACATCCGCTCGAGCGGTTCAAACTTGTTTGTACAGCCCCGAAACATCGAACATCGAACGCCCCATCGAACATCGAACTTGCACGACGCGCGAGAGAGAGAGAGAGGTATATAAATGTAATTAACAAACAAGGTTTAAACAAGTAACGGTGGTTTTTTCTCTTTTGTTGTTCCTTTTTTTTTTTTTTGATTTTTTTGTTTGATTAAAATTTGGTTTTGGTTTTTTTGTTTATTTTTTTGCACTCATTTGGCTGCTGCAGCTGCTGTGCTTCTGCTTCTGCTGCTCTGCTCCCCGTCATCAATCAGCTTTAATTGTGACGGTTTTTTTTATGCTTTGTGTGTTTTCTTTTTTAACGTTGACTGAAAGCAACATTTAAATATTAGTCGCGTGAAGAGTTCAACTTACCAGAATTCAAGCACGCTATTTAAGAATGTTATTTTTGTTTCAAGTTTGTGTGTGTTTGTGTTTTGTTTGTTTTTTTTTTTTTTTAAGGTTAGTTTGAAAGAGTTTGGTTTTTGGCAGCTGATGGTCCTAATGCAGGGGCTGGTGCTAGCGGTGTCGTCTCCACGCGGCCCAAATGCAGATAGGAACAGTCCGCATCCTCGCAGCGTCCCATCAGCTCGAACGGACAGATGGTGGCATGGACATCGCAGGGACTTTGCGGGGAGGGGTAAAAATGCATGGAAATACATTTCGCCAACCGACCGACCGATCCGAATGTTCTACTCACCTACTGTAGTTCCGTGGTATGGGAGATCGGTAGTCTTGGAGATACGTATCCGGCTCCGCCTCCTCCTCGCGCAGCTCCCTCATAATGCGCACAGTGTAGGGTCCTGGCCAGGGCTTCGCTACCGCTACCACTTCAGGTTCCAGCGCTGGCTCCGGTTCCGGCTGTGAGTCATCCCGGGTTTGATTCTGAAAATAAACTCAACCGTTTCGTTAGTTTGGGGGGTTTTTTGTGGGGGGATTTGTGGGTCACAGTTCGGGGAGTTTATTCAACACGGATGAAACCCAGCCGTACATGAGTTGAATGACTTGAGAACTTTCTTAGCACTAGAAACGAAGCAATTTGTATATGTATAATGAAATCCACGCACATCTGGCATCAGTTGGGACTCGCACTCGTCGGCTGTCTCTGTGGGTGGTGGCTCTGAGCATGGCACTTGCGCAGTATCAGTCGATATTCCATTCTCCTCCGGTTGCCTCCTGTCTGCCTCAATAGACGTTCGACTCGTCTCATCTTCCCTTTCCACCGGGGACTCGATCACAGTTTGTGGCTGGCTCTCGTTTTCAGTTGGTGGCAGAGGCTGCTGCTGCTGCTGTTCCTCCGTCAACTTCTTAAGATCATCGTATTTAACTATTGAGTTGTATAGGCGGATCTGCTTGGAGAGTTGCGTTGATTTTCGTGTGATTTCCGCCTTGCCCTCGTCAAGCAACCTGCAAGAAAATCGAATCTATAATCGCATAGAAATATTGTGGTGTCCCGAGCTCTAGGGTGCTTGAAGCTCGCGCTTGCTCGTTTGTTTCCACCATTCCCACGTGGAGCTGCAATCTGGCTGCTGTTGTCGTTGTGGTAGTACCTGTACTCGTCGCCACTTAATCCTTTGCCCAGGTCCATGGCTGCAGCGTAGAGCTTGTTGCGTTTTTGTTTGAGGGATATGATGATCTCGTGGCTGGTCTGAATCTCCGGCTGAATGCGGGCCAGCTTCACTTCCTCCTGCTTGACCACCTGCCTAACTGCCTGCATCTCGCTGTAGAGCTCTTTGAGTCGATGCGAGCATCGCAGGCGCACAGCCTTCGACTTCTTGGCCTCCTCCACCAGCTTCATAGACTTTTCCAAATTTGCTATCATGCTTCCCCTGCAACAGACACACAATCAGAGATGAGTAACCCTGGTCCCCCATCCAGGCGTATATATCTACCCGATTCTAGCAAATGAGCTCTCGAAGGACTTTAGCCGCGTCTCCCTAGTCGGTTGATTTGGCTTCACATTGGTTTTGGCTTTGGTTTCATTCGGGATTGCTGCCCTCTGGCTACTGCTGCTGCTGCTGCTGCTGTTGATGGCTGCCGTTTGAACCACTTTGTCATGGTCGTTTGTGGTTTCCCCCAATGTGGCGGCTGTTGCCTTGCCGGAGGCAGCTGCTGCCGCAGCCTCCTTTTTCTTGGCCGTCGTTAGCTTCTTCTGTTCTAGCAACTGCATGCGTTCGACCAGCCGGAGATATTCCTTCTGCGATGCCACAGGCAAATGTCGCACTGCCTGAAATGGAAGAATGGAGAGAAAGGTAATGAATATTTGAATCGTGTTCAATGTTAGCTGTTACCCACCACTGGAGTTTTCTTTGTCTGTTGGGTCTTCGAAGGGGCAGCTTTTGGTGGATTTTTCACCAGCCTCTCCCCGTCCGCCGTCTTCTCTGGGGCCTTGTCTGTCTCAGGCTCTTTGGTACCATTTGTGCCTGGTGTTGGGACCTTGGAACGCGCCTGCTTCAAATAGTCATCGATCTTCTTCTCAAGGTAATCACTCATGACCGATCGCCTGAGGTTGGGATTGGAGGTGGATGCAGAAGCCGATTCGAGTATCTCCGAGGTGGGAGTATTCGATCTGGTTGTGGAGCCACTGGGACTGCCCATGGCCAGGCTGAGGGGACTGGCGTTTTCCGTGTAATTGGAGCAGTCAAAGCACGAGCTCAGCTCCAGGTTATCATCGCTCGCCGCCGAGTCATCGGCCAGGCTGATGATCAGCTTGCTCACCTTGATGCTGGCCCGATCGATACTGGTGACCAGTCGCGTGACCGAGGAGTTGCTTTGGACCTTCACGGAGGCACTGGGCTCCTTGATCATCAGTGTCGTTGGTCGCTTGCAGCTCAGCTTTGCGGAGGATTGCTCCTCAGTGGGAATTTTGCGTTTGGTAGTGGTCTTTTTGTTGATCACCTTGTTGGGTTTAACAATTTTTATTATTTTAGTGGAGGGTGACGTTGGATCTTTGGACCTCAAAACTTGGCTAGATTCAGGCTGATGATGTTGCTCCGTTTCCATAGCGGATTGGTTTGAATCTTGGCCCTTCGAAGGAGCCTCAACGATGAGCTGCAGTGGCTCTTCTTGCTCCATTTTCTCCCCTTCTTCAATTGGCTGCTGCTGAATATCGTCCTGTGGCTCCTCTGGCTCGTCCACTTTAGGAGGCGCCTCAACAGCACAGGACTGGAAGCGTCGCACCGCATTCTTGAGTATCTCTGGGCTAAGACGGGACTTCAGTGTGGGGCAACTTCTTCCCTTTTTGGTGGCAATGCTGGACAGAAGCAGCGAGCGCAGTTGTTCCGGATCATCCGAATCGTGGGACCCAATTGAATCCGTTCTGGTTATAGACACGGCCAGAGACGGGGCAGGTACAGGAGCGGGAGGCAGATAATGCAGGACTGGCGTCGGAAGAAGAGGTGGACGCGTAGGTGCAGGTGCAGGTGCAGACGATGGCTCCTTGGCTGTCTTTAGATTGGACAGGAGCATGGCGCGCAAGGCTCCAGCTTCATCGTCGCTAGTTTCCGGATGCGATATGTCCACGCTCTTCGTTTGCGTCTGTGAGTTTTCCATGGAAACAGATTGAGTATATGTTAGGGAACTGTGATTGGAATTCTGCTCATCGACCAGATGCATGGCATCCCTGGCATCCTCATCCAGATGCATGTGTGCAATTTGGAATGGCGGCGGTGGTGGCGGCTCCTCATCATCATACAGATCATCGTCATCGTCTATCACAATGGGCATCGATACTGGCGGCAGTGAGCTGTTCGGCATAAAGCACCGCCAGCTACCGCCAGCTGTGTCCAATGAATTCCAATTATTTGACCACGTATTCCAGTTGTCTTTCTGCTCATCGCTATCTGTTTCGGCCAGATCCATATCCACCGATTTGGTGTCAACAGCATCATGCATGCGATAAGGACTCGCACCGCGATCTGGCGAGGCAGCCGGACTGATCTCCATGAGGTCGTCGATTTCATCCGTGTTACTAATTGTGGGATGGACGCGGTTTATCATGTCGGTCGGTGAGTAGGCCCGCTCCGCATCGCGCTTCTTTCGCGCCAAATGCTTTTTGAGTATAGCAGACTTGAGGGCTATCAGACGCAGACTAAGCTCACCGGTCTCTCCAGCTGCTTCAGCGGGCTGAATCGCATGCTCCTGCTCCTCCTCTTCCGGACAGAGACCATCAGTGAGTTGCTCTGCTGAAGGCGACAGCAGCTCTTTGTTCGTCGGGTATTTCTTGGGCGACTTGCGCAGGGGATACTGCAGTCGCTCCCTGAGGCTGTTCTTGTACTGCCCGAGCATATCATTCCGCTCCTCTCTGGCCAAAGCCACGCGCAGCTTGTCCCTGCTGAGCTTCAGGCGCTCCAGATCCAGGACATCTTCGCCCTCATTCTCGGAGGTCACATCGTACTCGCAGTTCTCTTCGTCTGTCAGGCTTTCGAAGGAGTCCAGCAATATGGCATCCTGCTGCTGCTGCTGGTGATAGTGCTGTTGATGGTTCGGCCTCTGATGCTGATAGCTCTTATAGCTTTGGGTCGGCTGCCGATTTCGCAGATGCTGTGGCTTGTAGCGCCGCGCAGGTGCAGTCCTCTTGTAGACACCATTCGGCAGCTGGCCAACACTTCTCCTGCCATTGTCTATGCGTCTCAGTCTCGATCTGTGGTAATGGCGCTGGGAATCGTATTCGTCATCCGAATGGCTGGACACATCGGAAAGCAAAAAGACTGGCGATTTCCGTGGTAGCCGCAAAGCTCGCTCCTCCAGCTCCGGATAATCTGTAATTTTAAAAGAAAACAAAAACCTTATCTCGAGTGAGAGGAGGGGGGCAATAATTCTTAGCTCAAATAACTTTGGCTGGAATTCGACATTTGGGCATTACATACAGATGGTTCAGTAATCGTATTATTAAGCCTGCAATAAGGCGCAGTTCTATAATCTTCTCCCATATGAGAAGCCCTATGACAAACACACGTACACTACTTACCCGCGCACACACACACCCAAACACACTCACACACATAGTCAATCATATGTCATTCTACATGTTGCTTACTATATTGATTTGCCAAATTTGCGGCCAGCATATCCATCCGCTCCACATCCTTGTTGTTCTCCTCCAACTGCTGGATCCGTGCACGCAACTTGAACTCTTCATCCTCCGAGGATATCGGATCGTAATCATCTACAATTTCGCCTTCCTCACGCTCATCATCATCCTCATGCATGACCTTCGGATCAATATACACGCGATCTTTCACGCGCTCAGAATGTCTTGAGTCCGCTTGCATGGCGGCAGTACGGACAACCATCATAAGCAATCAAATTTGCAATCTTAGCACTTTTTATTCAGACACGATGGAAATTTAATATTTTTTGGATTGGATTGCTTTGATAGTGTGACCAGTGGACTTATCGATAAAATATACCGTCTGACCCTCCGAAATATACCTTGTCATTATCAAAATATACCGTAAATATACTGACTGATGCGTTCATATTCCTGGATTTTGATATTCGGTTTAATATTACTAGCTAGTTAGCACTGTCAGCCCTAAGGAAATAATTTTGACTAATTCATGAATCAATTTTCTACAAAATTGGCTAGTTTTCAGAAGTTTCAGGCGCTGGGCTTTCCGAGCTCCACGGATTGGATTGCTTTGTTTCATGTAACAGCTGTTTTGTTGGTCTAAATAGAGATGGACCATCTCTAGATTAAATATACTTTATATACCGCAGAATATCGGTATTTTTGGCGCCGGTATTTCTTGGAATGACAGATGAGTTTTTCCCAAAATCTGGGCACACCAACTGTCAAACCGACTTCCGCTCTTTTCTACCCAACTCGCGGAACAAAATGCAGCAAAAGGTATTTGTGCTTGTGAAAAAGCGCCGAAATTTATGTGAAATATCAACTGAAATAATGCAAATGTTCTTGTTTTGCAGCGCAGAGAACCCGTGCAGGCAGTTCAAGTCTTCGGACGCAAGGTGTGTGTGCCATAAAGCATTCAAATCAAATGAAATTTTCGCACGTGTCGCACACAAAAAGCGCGTCAATTCCCAGTCGACGCGCTCTGCCCAGCCGACCGACCGCCGCTACGGTGCTGAGGTTATGTTTGGGTGTGCGATGATTTTGATTTGGTGTGAAGCTTCTCCAGTGCTAACCATTGTAAATGGACATTAATGATTGGATTATTGCAGAAAACCGCCACCGCTGTGGCCTACTGCAAGCGTGGCAGTGGTCTCCTGAAGGTGAACGGACGCCCTCTGGAGCAGATTGAGCCCAAGGTTCTGCAGTACAAATTGCAGGAGCCTCTCTTGTTGCTCGGCAAGGTATGTACGCCGTCATTGTCTATGTTTGTTGCTTTGGGCATGATATGATGATAACATTTATCCCGAACTTGAAGACCAATGAGAATACAAATGTTTCTGATTATATTAGAGCATCATTTGGACGTGTTTCCTTACACCTTTTAAAGGCATCCATTGATTTATTTCCTTCTCTCGTTTTGCAGGAGAAATTCGCCGGTGTGGACATTCGTGTGCGCGTCAACGGTGGTGGTCATGTCGCCCAGATCTATGCCATCCGTCAAGCTATTTCCAAGGCCCTAGTTGCCTTCTACCAGAAGTGTAAGTAACTCAACTCTTTGATAAACGCAAGAAATAGTGGGTGGCCTTAATAGGTTTTTGTTTGAGAGAACATAGACTCTTTCGCAAATGATTCAATAGAGGCCAGAATAACATACATTATGAGCATATACCAACCAAGCTGGCATCATGTGATATGCAGATTGGGTGATGCATCAAAAACATTTGATACTAAAGGCACCTTCTACCAGATTTTTGTTGGAAGTTATTGCCATTTCCAACGAAAGACTTGAGCAAGGGAGAACAACTGCATGTCGCAATCAAAGAGAGCAATCGGAAGATTTGACCAATGCTATTTGAGGCTTCATCGACATCAAAATCTTAGTATGCTGTACACCAAATCGATTTTGTCCTTAAAAAGTTTTTGTTTTAGAGAATTTATACTCTTTTGCAAATGATTCAATAAGGGCTAGATCAAACCACATTATGAGCATATACCAACCAAGCTGGCATTAAATTTTCATATGCAGATTGGGTGATGCATCAGAAACATTTCATATTCAAGGAATCCTGTTGTTGTACCCCTTCTACCAGATTTTTGTTGGAAGTTATTGCCATTTCCAGTGAAAGACTTGAGCAAGGGAGAACAAGTGAATGTCGCAATCAAGGAGAGCACTGGCCACATTTGACCATTGCTACTTGAGGCTTCATCGACACTTGATTTCGAGCAATTGTTGGCATGGCTAATGGTGTTCGGTATTCATCTAATTTTTTAAATTTCTTGCCTTCCATTACAGACGTCGATGAGGCCTCCAAGAAGGAGATCAAAGACATTCTGGTGCAATACGACAGAACCCTGCTGGTCGGCGATCCACGCCGTTGCGAGCCCAAGAAGTTCGGTGGTCCAGGAGCCCGTGCTCGTTACCAGAAGTCGTACCGTTAAATTCTTCTGTCTGGTTTTCAATTTGGATTAGAGATATTTTTTACAATTTGAAAATGGTTTGCGCGCAAGTGTGAATAAAACGGAATAATTAACAGTAAGATTCAATTAAGGCTATTATTTATTGGGTGGATTTTGATAGTGTGGCACTATTTGGGCCAAAACGATTGCTGTCCAACAAGCACAGCTGATTCATTATTTATCTCGCTGACAAGGTTTTATATCTGATCTCTCTGCCAAAACTTGAAATGTAGTGGAATACGACAAGTCAAGTCATCCCGGAATATCTCCTCCCGTGTAGCTAACCTTTGACAAACGACATGCCATGTAGCAAAATGTGTAGTTACCATGTAAAACAAATCGCATTTTTGTGGAATTTTTTTGTTTACACCTTTGTTTATCAGCAATCCAATAAAGGGGAGTTATTTATAATATCCAGTCTTAAAGAAAATTGATTCATTTATCGGATGAAATTGTATATTAAATGCTAATGATCCTACTTATCTAGTAATATTAAACCGAATATCAAAATCAAGGAATATGATTTCCGATCAACAAAAAAGAATATAGCCCATTATCGACCCGGGGTAAATATTCCCACGAATATTATAAATCTAAGAATTTTAGCTCAGTTCAGGTGAAGGATATATGTAGTGCTCTTTGTTTTTGTAAGTAAAAAGGAGAGATGGGATCGATCTACAAGGGTAAATGCTCAAACAGCATTCTTTTCCACTGTATAATTCAAGTTCTTCACCTGTTTAAATAGAGGGGGTTAAGTGGGTTAATAGTAAATAATTTTGCATATTTCTGAGGGTCACACTGATTCTCCCCTTGCTGGGGTCACACTGATTCTCCCCTAGCTGTGTTAGTCATGGGAGCTTTGTTTGGGAAAAGTAGCAAAAAGACGGGCCCCAGTCGGATAACCGACCACGACAAGGCTGTCCTGGTGAGTAGCTACTCCTCCAGAGATTCCTGGTGCCTGTTCTAACCGCCTCCACTCTTCCTATGGTTAGCAACTGAAGCAACAACGAGACCGTCTCAAACAGTACCAGAAGCGCATTGAGCTGCAGCTGGAAAATGACAGGCTCCTCGCCAAGAAGTGCCTGCAGCAGGGCCGGAAAGAGTATGGTTTGCATAATGACCAAATCTAGAGCTAATCTGTGTATTCTTTCAGCCGGGCCAAACTGCTGCTGCGCAAGAAGAAGTACCAGGAAAGTCTGCTGACGAACGCGGACAAGCAGCTGGATAATCTGGAGAAACTGGCTGCCGACCTGGAGTTCGCCCAGGTGGAGATGAAGGTGCTGGATGGCTTGAAGCAGGGCAATGCAGCGTTGAAGAAGGTGCACGAAATGCTGGACATAAACGAAGTGGAGAGGATCATGGACGAGACACGAGAAGGCATCGAGAAGCAGCAGGAGATAGACGCTATTCTGACGGACGTACTGACGCCTCAAGACGAAGAGGACGTACTGGCCGAATTGGACGCCCTCGAGGCGGAAGAAGACGGCGTCCAGTTGCCGGAAGTGCCCACCGAGGTGCTGCCACCAGTCGATGATGATGAGGCGGCAGCAGAGGAGAAAGCAGAGACCAAAGCGATCGCCAGCAAAACGAAGAAAGTCCTGGTGGAGGCCTAGATCCGATTTCAATTGATACCAATGCCATTTTGTACGTATGTGTATGTATGTTTGTATAGCCAGCAACTAAATATCTCTATAAGTCCAATGTGAAATACATATTTTTCTAGAATCTAAAATGCACAGAAACCGTACCGCACATAATTTAGTCAATACGCAATGAAACGGACTTCTTGGACCTGCGTATGTCCTCCCTAACGCGAGTGCGTAGACTATTGTTCGTATCCCGCAGCTTCTCGATCTCCTCGACGAGCACAATGTTCTCCTTGAACAGTTTGTCGTATTTCTTTTGCACCGACTTGTCCTCGGCCACCGCCTTGTAGCGCGCCAAAACATTTTCGATCTGCTTGCGCTGTCGCATGAACTCATCCCGCACCTCGGCATCCAGGCTGACGAAGCGCTTCAGCTCATCGTCGCTGGCATGCTTCTGGAACAGCGTTTTAACGGCCTTCTTGAGCCCCTCGGCCGAATTGACCTCGCCGGCCACATAGTAAATGTCCGTGCAGATGGCGTTCAGGCACTCGCGGGATGCCTTGGCCCGATGCCGCTCCGTGTGGAGCTCCGCCACGTTGCTGAGGTACTTGTCGCGCATCTCCTTCAGCTGCAGCTCCAGCTGAATGTTGTTCTGGTTGAGACCCTCTAGTTCGCCCTCCATTTCGAGGATGTGCTTGCGCTTGTCGTTGATCTGGAACTCGCGCGGCTCGATTTGAGCCTTCAGCTCGGCTATCTTGTGGCCCAGCACCTGCTTGTACTTATCCAGCTCCTGGTTCTTGTGCAGCAGGTCCTGGATGCGCTTCTCCTTGCCATTGATGGCATAGTCCCGATCGGCAATGTCCTTCTGCAGATCCTCGATATTGTTTATCTGCTTTTGGATGCAGCGCTGCGACTTGTAGTGCTCCTCCTTGAGGGTCTCCACCTCCTCGAGCAGATTGTCGATCTCCTTGCTCTGCGCCTCGAACTTCTTCTGCAGCACGCCCGCCTTGCCGCGCCACATCTGCGTCTCGTTCCGCTCGGTGGTCAGCTTGTTCTCGTACTCGGTCTGTGTGGCCACCATGTTGCGGTCGTTCTCCATTTCCACCTCGTGGCAGTACTCGATGAATTCGGCCTTCTTGTCCTGCATCTCCTTCATCAGGTCCCGGATGAGGCCCTTGCGCTCGTTCAGCTGCTGCTTGTAGTTGTTCTCAAGGGCTTCCACCGTGTCCTGCAGCGTGCCCGTGGAGTTCTTCAGCTTGTCCTCGTAGCTCTCGCGCAGCTCCAGCATATTCTCGCGCAAATTGGTGAACTTCTGGTACTCGATGAGCATGCGCTCCGAGTACTGGTTGGCCAGGGTGTCCAGCTGGACGCGATGCTCCTCCCGAATGGAGGTGATCTGGTAGGTAATGTGGTTCATCTCCTCTGTGTGCCTCGCCTCGATCTCGTTGTTCAGCTCCTTGAGCTCCTCCAGCGCCGAACAGTAGCTGCGATGCACCTCCTGCAGCTGCTGGCCGTCGAAGATCTCGTTCTGGCTGAGCTGATATTGGAACTCCTCCGCCTGCTGCTTAAGTCGCAGCTCCAAGTTGGCAATTTGCTCGATCTTGTCGTTCAGCTGACTGCGCGGTATCAACACCTCCTGGCTCTTCATCAGGTCATGGTCTATGGCCAGCACCTTGCCCTCTATGTTGTCCATGGACCAGATGGCCAGCGTGCCCTTCTTGGAAATGGCCAGCAGCAGGGTGCCATCGTAGGAGAACCTCAGCTTGTTGACTGGCCCATCGAAGAACCGGAAGTTGGTGAAGGTGCCGCCGCCCGCATCCAAGAAGGGCAACTGCATGTTGAATAGATTGCCCTCGTGATCGGCGACGAACATGATCAAATCGGAACGGGCCAGACAAAGGTCCGACACGGAGCCCTTGCTCCTCGACGGAATCGTAATCTCACGCACCAGTTCCGAGTTCTGGAACTCGCGGATGGTGCCAAAGTTTGTGCCCGCGTAGATCGTCAGCGGATCGTGGAAGCTGCACGACACCGTCACATACTCGGTGCCCTTCTGCACGATCTCCTGCAGTCGCGAACCCGTCTCCAGGTCCCACTGGTAGATGGCGCCCTCCGCTCCGCCCGAGATGAGGTACTTGTCCGTCCGTGTCCAGGCCACGGACAGCACGGTGCCGTTGTGGCCCTTCAGATTGATCAGCACCTCCAGATTGTACACGGACGTGATGGCTATATTGTTGTCATAGGCGGCGGCCATCATGTGACCCAGATTGGAGTACCGAACATCGTTGCAATGCGGGAAATTGTAGGTTTTCACAATCTGCGTTGGGCAAGAGATCGTAGATTGGGAACGATATTAATCAGCAGAGTCCCGACTCACATTGAGATCGTCCATGAAGATCTGGGTGATGCGCAGCTGATCCGAGAATCCAATGGCTGCAATCAGGCCCGTATTATTGAGCTCCACAATGTTGACATCCACCTGGAACTTGCGCACCAGCTCCACCTTAGCCGTCTCATAGTTCCAGATTCGTATGGTCTGATCCCTTGCTGAAGAGTAGGGCATGGCAGACATGGATGCTATAGGTAGAGATTGTTACTCACAGGCTGTCATGACGATGGGTTTCCAGGCGCACACGGACATCGCGATCACCTCTCCCGTGTGGATGAGCACGCCGAGGGGCTCGAACTTCAACTGTTTGGTCTTGAGCGTCTCCGGAACGATAAGGATGCCCACATAGATCTGGTCATGGGAGGTGGTTACGATGACTGTCTCCTGCTTGTGATCGATGGCTAGATTGGTGATCTGGTACATGGGCTCCGCATACAGAGTGGTGGGAACGGTGAGGATGGTCTTCCGCTCAAACTTAAACTTGGAGACGCGCTCAAAGACGAATGCCCGGTTGAACATGATGTAGGCGAATCCCTTCGCGAAGGCCGTCATGCAGAGAACCCGCTGGTCGTGCGGGACGACTGCCTGGGTGGGCAACTGGAAGCGTTGATCCTGTGCCTCGCGATCCCGATCGAAAATCTCCTGGTCCATCATTAGGTCGACGGTGTCTGCCTCGCTGGCCTTCTGGGCCAGCTTCTGCTCGCCGTTCTCGACGAGAATCAGCTGATCGTTGGACGTGCCCAGCATCAGCAGATCCAGTGAGAGAAAGGCCATCGAAGTGACCCTGTAGGTAACCTTCAGGTTGTTGCTGATGGTGAATCCCCTCTCCGACTTGCTCATCAGGAGTAGGGTCCGGTCTCCGCCCACTGCCAGGAAGCTGCAATCGGAGGGATTGCCAGCTATGCACTCCGCGCCGCTGTGGGATCCCAGGACTGTGGCCCGGCCCTCGATCACGGTGCTCGTCTTGTCCAGGACCAGCATGATCATGTGCTCCTCCGGCGGCCGGGTCAGTATGGTCACTGCTCGCGAGTCATTGGTAAAGATCATCTGCTTGATTTCCGTGTTGCGATGATTGACGGGTAGCTCCAGGTGCCGGCGCTTCTTCAGGGTGGACAGCTCGTAGATAGATATAAAGCGACCACTGTGGATGAAGAGATGAAGGAAAGAAATCCCTTTAGAGGTAAGAAAAGTCTTTGAGGATTTTCTCATACTTCTTCACATGACGCTCCAGAACGGCAAGCAGTTTGCGATGAGAACTCATAGCGATTATCTCGGGTCGCGTGTCCTCGGGGAATCTGCAGTAGGATTCGAATGAGTAATCCGACACTCTGGATAACGATAGCCTGGAGAAACTCACCTGAGAAATCTTTGCTTGTTCAGGACATAGTCGTGGAATGCCAGAACACCCTCCACCGGATAGATGACCTCCTTGCTCAGGTTGAAGTGGATGTTGCCAATCACATCCGATCGAAGGCCGTAGATGAGGCGCGGCCGTATAACCACACTGTTATTGATCGAGCCTGCCCTCTGGTCGTCCATTCTGTCTGATTTCTATATAAAATATATATGTATGGTGTGATAAATACAATTTGAACTGGAATTCGATGCGAATTTCACTCTCTCTCTCTAGGCTGACAGACGAAACAAAATGGGGAACTGGAATTCGATCAAACAACCTAGGAAACCAGCCAAACAAAAGAGGCTCGACGCCTGACAGTAAATTCCATGGCATCCATGGCGGGCACCTAACAACAAGTGTGCGGGGGCGTGGGCCCTGGGCCCACCCACTTGGGCGAACAATTACCTCAAAACGAAAGCTCTCGTTTCTATTCCATCCTCATCAAAACTAAGCCAAAAGCACCATGAATAAGTAATTAAATGTCGCTAAGTATGCTTTTCATTTCGGAGGCGTTTCTAGTGAAGCCTCAGGCTGAGCCCCCCCTCCTAAGCCCAACGCCAGTCGCAGTCGCACTTAAGTTTAGAGTTGACATTAAGCGTTTGCCAAAAACAACAATGAAATTTCCGCTGGAAATTGCCGCACTGTTGGTTGCCATTTCCTGGGCAGCGTCGCACTTGAACTCTGGTAATGCGCTTTCAGCCCAATGGTGGGTCTGTCTGTCACTCTGTCTGTCAGTCAGTAAGTCAGCCAGTCAACCCTATCCAAAACTAAGTCCCTCCCACCAAAGTCTTCTTCTTCGTGGCCAAGGCATGCCGAACACGACCTAACACAAGGAATTCTTAGTTAAAGAAAAGCTGCCTGCTTTCTCTTTAGTTCTTCGAAGAGAGAAAGAGAGAGCAAGAAGAGAGCTCAACTGAAAGAGCTTTCGTGTGTACAATTCTACAGCTGGAGAGGCTAAGACGGCTGGCTGGGCTACATTAATCTGCAGAAACTTTAAAAGGAAAAAGGAATATCCAGGAATACCTAGGCACAGCTATGACAACTTGTTTCCCTTGCCAAAGGCTTTAACGTAAGCACAAATCTAGCTTTAAATCAGCCAAAATGTCAACTCATTTGCATTCACTTCTGAGCAGGCGAACTGCCGGCGCTCTTGTACTCGCTCACTGTGTCTCTCTCTCTCTCTTTCTGGCTAAGAAGGTAGTGGCATCCAGCTCTTATAGTGAGCTATATCTATTGCCAGTCCATTTGTGGAGAGAGACCTGTGGAGTTGTCCGCACCTTGTACAGTTTTACCATGCCCTTGCCCACAACCTTTCACCGTTGTCAGGCTTTGGTTCAGTTCAGTTCCATTTTCGTTTTCATTTCAGTCAAAGCTTTCGCGTCGGCCGCAAAAGTAACTAACGGGAACAAGCGAAAGAATCTTACAGAGTGAAACCAGAAGAGACGACAGAGAGCACAGAAAAAAGAAGAGACAAAAAGTGATTGTTTTTGTGTGTTATCAGTGGATGCAAGTGGACGACGCTTTGCCTCCTGATTGAGTACTGGAGATTGGACCGAACGCGGAGGAGGAGCTTCTCAGCAGCACAGGTGGCTGTTAAATATGGCCGGTTAAATAGACTCCGACCTGACGCATAAATAAAGAAGTAAATTTAACTGTAACTGTAAACGACAGACACTCACTCGTGCTTTCTGCGGGTGTGTGTGCTTAAGTGCTTTAACGGTTAAAACAGTTTTGTGTGTGTGTGTGTGTGTGTCTGTGACAGTCACTCAATTAAAAACCGCAAAGAAAACGCAAACAGAAAAACGTCCTGTCCTGTCCTGTCCCTTTGCAGATTCCCACAAGGGCTGTTGAATTTTTTAAGCCAATTAAATTTTTTTTAAATCAAATATAAAACCAAAGTGAAATGAAACGGAAAATGGCCGCCTAATGGACTCTGTCAGTCTTTCAACCTGAGCGCAACAGCACCAGCAGCTGTGGCAATTAAAAAGTAATTTTAATGCTTCTGTTCCGTTTATTTGCACAGAAACAGCAACAACAATTTACAATTCTTTTGGGTGGGTGGGTTGGTTATTTGGCTTAGTTCCGTCCGTGCCCCACAAACACCCCTAACCTAACCCAACCGTCCCCTCCATGCCGTTTCAAAAGTTGTAAATCTTTTTCATCTCTCTATTCTTTGTACTCTTGGACGGAGGGATACTTTGATTTGTCCAGGGACTTGGAACGAAAGATAAAAGCATTTCCCACTGCAAAAAAAAATATATTTATTTATTAAGAAAATGTATCTCCGAAATCTGTAGCCAAATTTAACCGACATCGAAAAACCATATCATACGAACAATACGAGTAGATCGGTAAGGGTAACCAAAAAGTCTGATACCGAAGGTGGCCTTCCTTTCGTGTTTAAATTGCTGTTTACCCCCTGGCCTGCTGCTATTGTTGGCCATTTCAAGCGTAACAAATCGCAAATACCAAAATTATTATAAACAAATTGTTTAAACAAAGAATCAGGAATGTATATACGAGTATATGATCATACACATGTATGTATATATATCGCAACTAGAACAGGTCAAATGGGAATCCGTCCGGCCAGAGCCCGGAAAGCGTAAATGTTCATTTTAAATTTAAATCCGTCGCAGGCACAGCCGCAGTCGCCGCACTGCGTGCATTGCACCACAGCAAAAACCATGTGGCAGCGGACACAAATAAATTCTTCAACAGTGAGGGGTCGGTAAATAAGAAACACACACAATTTTTACCACATGAACCATAACCAATAACTGTAAGAAATATTGTCAGGTAGATAGATCAGGAAACTTTTCTTTTCCATCGATGCGTCCAAAGCTAAAAATAAAAGCATTTTCAAAGAAGTCGCATTAAAGCCGATTAGAGATACTTGGAAATTAAATAAATATCATTGAAAGCTCATGGGAGAACATTTTTCCAACCAAAATAGGGAAATGGATGGGGACTCAATATAGATGCCTGTCCGTCCGCTTAAAGAGGTTCCACTGCTCACGAATTTGTACAAGTATACTCATTTCTATATATATTCCTTAATACAACTTGTTCTGGTATTTTCGGACTGCTGCTGAAGTTGTGGGAAATGCAGCAAAAGTTTTGTCAGTTTAAAATGGAAAATTCCATTTAACAGTGGTTTAACAGTTTATTTTAATGGGTCAATATATTCTGTAAAGCAGTTTTCCAAAAAACAGGTCCGAAATATTGAGAAAACTTAAAAAAATAAGAATAAATCATTACTTTATTTAGAGCAATGCCAAGAGAAAAAAAGGTTGAGAAACTTCATGAAACAGGAAATAAATCATTCGAGTTAGTCAATAAAACAAAACTTTTATTTGAGTGTCAGCTATGTTGTTGTTTAATTGAGATGTTGGCATTTCCAACTTCTGTGTCCTAAAAACTCGTATTTGAACTTGAATGCTTTTTACTAGTAGCCTTTAACCCATTCGGCTAATTTAAATTACTGCTATATCGTACACTGTAAGCTATGAACATAAATGAGCATAATAATAAGAAAAATAATTCTTGAAAATACTTATTCAACAATGTCTCTCCAGCATGTTGATCTATCTAAACAAAAATCCCCGAAAATTGCCCAAATCTCGTCTATCTCATCAAATTTTGGCTTATATCTTCAAAACCATCCGTTCAGATAAAATTCACATCATACATAAAAAAAGTTACCAACGGAATGTTTGATCTGCTAGACTCTCTTTTAAGGACGTGATTTTATTGCTTTAGTTCTCCATCCAACCTTCTAGACTTCCATGGAATTTGCTGTAATAAGTTTTCTCTGCGTAAATAAGAGTTTGTTCCTTAATTTTTGAAGTTTTTACCATCATTTATATTTCATTAGTGTGTGTTTCTGGTTCGTTTTAAGCTTTAAGTGATTCGCCAGCCCCTTTCCGCTTAAATTTTTATCATTCTTCTTGGCAGCGTCTCTCTACATCTCTTTCTCCCCTAGAGAAGCTGCTGGAAATCTTGCTGAAATTGAAGTCAAGTGTTTCTTGTATATTTTCCGTTTTTCCCTTTTTTGTTTTTACAGCCAGGGAATAATGGCATTCTATCGTCCTTTTCTTTCCACCTCTAGCTTTCTCTCTCTCTCTCTCTCTCTCTACCCCCAATCCCATTGTCGCTACACTCTTTTACACACACACACACATACTTATGAGTAAAAGAACCGAGTTGGAGCAGTGTTGAGCGCAGCACACAAGCCTTTTTCCCGTTTCGTTTCGGCGTTCGGCTTCAATTGTAGCGACTAAGTTGACCTTTTTGTTAATAGCATGCCAGTAACACACACCCAAGCACACACACACACACACACACACAGGGAGTTTGAAGCCAGGACGGGGCATTGTCTGTGCGGGAATTGGATGTTGGCACAGCTGATTGATTTATTGTCGGCTGACTGGCTGGCTGCCTGGCTGGCTGTTGGTTTGTCCGCACTGGCAGCCACAGTAAACAGACACCCCACCTCCTCTCGCAAAATGCCAAAGACCCCAGCGACGGAGCGCGTATGCAATAAAAATGATGAACCAGTCGGCTAATGTAGTAACACCGACTAAGGGATACACTGGTATTCCCAAAATGGCAACTTTGTGCCAGCTCTAAACTTAATTCTACCAAATTTAAGCCCGAAATCTTGAGCATTGTGTGAAGCAATCCTCCATCCTCTGTTTGTTGGCAGGGTAATAAATGAATGTGAGCATAGGTTGGAAACAAACTTTATCGCCCCACACCGGCTCCTACTTACCGGCCACGAGATCCATGATCCCAGCCAAAAATATATTGGTTTATGGGATCAAAAACGTACTCCCACGCGTGTTGAATAATTCTGGTCCCTCCAGTGAACGTGTGTGTGTGTGCGAAAGAGGGGCCCTGTGCTTTTGTGTGTCTCACCTGTGCATGTGCTGTCGCTATAATTAAGAGCGACAGCAAATGCGACGCCAGCGTCGACAGCGACAGCGCGTACTAGCCGCCATTTTCATTTTACGATAACGGCTTTCACCTACTTGTTTCCCATTGCGCGAATGCATGCACTCGTAGCGCCCAGCCCCACTCCCTCTCTGTGGTCATGCGTCACCTCTAATAGAAATTCGGGCTTTATTCTGAAGCGTGCCGCTCTTTAATGAGAAATACTCTGGAAGGAATTTTCTAATATTACGTTTTATGTACTGACTTCTTTCTCTATGTCGAAATTATCATTTAAATTGCAGAGCGTGTGCACACGCATTAAACATTCTCTTAGAGTAATCTGAGAGTATCTCTCCCACTGACAGACAGGAGCAAGCATGCCAAAGTGTGCGCCAGAAGTTCATAAAAGTTTTAAGGGCACACCAACAACAAAAAACAGTGAGAGATAAATATGTTATCTGAATGCATATATTTAATGAGAATCGAGCGGATGGACAGAGATGGACAGCACTTGAAATAAGGGGAGGAGTACGACACAGTACAGAGGACAGGCGACAGGCGACAGCAGGCAGAATGTCAGTGTCAAAGTTTGAGCTGTTGATAAGCGTCTCTATACAGACAGGGGAGCACTCTCAATTATCCGATAAGTACGCCAGCTGCTAACTAAACTCATTTGCCTGAGTGCGACTTAAATGGTAAGGGCGGAGACAAGGAGGCATGCTTGGCGAAGGGCGAGCTGTTGTATTGATAACTTTGGAATAAATGGTTATACAATAACAGAAAGGGTGTCTCGAGTGAACAAGACAAACAATCAACATCTAGAAGATTTTTCCTCTTGTTTTCTTGAAAAAGTGGAAATCTGTACTGCAAAACTTTGATACAATTTTGGCACTTTTCAGATTAAAAGCAACTTAAGTGGATTAGATTGGTTCATTGCTTGATGGATATACATAGTTGAAACTGCGTTGAATCTGGAGCTTAGTTCTCTAAGGCCCCAAGGACTACCAGCCCCAAAGCTCTCTCTACCCAAAAAACCAATCAACAGCTCTGCAGCTGATTGGCTGTTAACTTTTCGTTCCCTTTCTTAACCCATCAAAGCTCTTGCTCCCTCAATTCGACCATAAAACATTCGTCCTTTCTGTACAAGTATTTGATGGTCGATTCCCCCCATTGGTTTCCCATAAAAGTCATTCGGGTTCGATGTTCAGTATATTTTCGATAAAAGGGAATATTCCAGGCATTTGTTTCGTTTAAATGGCTTGCTCCAATGCGAATGTTCGAGACCACTGCTGGGGCCCCAAATGACCCAACAGTTGCCCACAAATTATAGTCACAACAGGTTGAAATGGGACTCACTATTGTGGCCTAAAAGTTTCCCCTTACAATCGGGAAAAATTCATCAGAACAAGCAAAAACACGCTAGAGGAGTATGGGAACTACTAAAATTGAATTGTCCGTGGCAGATGAAACCTGACATGAATATGGAATTACGCGGCCAAAAAAGGGCGGGCTTTTGTGTTCTCCCACATGGCGTATGCGCAATGCCAATTAAAAACTCAAAGCCATGCCCCAAAAAGTATGCTTTACATTTGCTTGTATTACGTTTTGGCCCCGAGCTAATGAATCGATTACAAGCTTAATTGTGATTGAACAAAGGGCACCACGCAATATAATTAATGTTAATTCAAATAATCCATGCACAAAAACATATACACTTATACACATACATACATTTACAAATTTATGTGCATATTTTTGCCATAGACCATTAATTCCATTTCTGATTTATTACAGTCTCACTCCTCAGTCCAGCTGGAAAACGTTGAAAGTACCGCCATAACAGCAACGGGGCTTAATTAGCGACAAACGCTAAAAACAAACAAAACAAACAAAATCAGAAAGGGAGAAACAGAAGAGAAACGGCAAAGGGAAAGGGAAAGGGCCAATCAAAGCGCAACAAGAGCTTTTGAACGACTAAAATGTTTCCTAAATGGTTTGGCAGCTATGCCAAAATTGTTAACAAAATCAAATAAATGCGACAAGAACAAAAGGAGGAGAGCGAGCGAGCGCGAAAAAGAGCAGGAAGTACCGGAAAAACCGAGCAGTGGGTGGAGCAGGCGGCGACGACAGGTGGCTGGTAGTCGCGCCCCCAGACCCTCCTCCAACCATTAACGAAAGAGAGAGAGAGAGAGCCTTACGCCGCCGTCTCATTGAATTAATTTCGTGGAAGGGGGGAGCCAAGCAACATTCCCTCCAGCGATTGCCCAAAAACCGAAACTCCCGCACTTGGTGGGGATAGGGCTACCATCCAAATCAACGGCTGTCAGACAGAAAGTCGCTTTTTATTGATTTTTATAAAGCCAGAGCCAAGCAACAAAAACAGCAGTAGCACCGGCACCAGCAGCAGCAACAGCAATAGCACCAGCAACAGAGAATAATAACACAAGCAGCAGAAACAACAAAATAAAGATTCAAACGCAATGTGAATAATTCCCTAGTTGGACAGGAACGAGCAAGCACGAAACAGAAGCAGCTAACGGCTAACGAATCGTTGGAATATTCGCTCACTCACTCGCACCCCAACTCTTACCCAACTGCTCCTATTGCTCACCTACTCACCTCCTAGCTGCTGCTACCTCTCCTACTCTGTCACACTATCGAAACGTTCATCAAATGCGATTCGATGACGCTTCAGCAGAGACAGAACACACAGACAATGAGCGAGAGAGACAGGGACCCACCCACAGAGCTCCATAAAAATGTGTTATAAAAATATACACGCATAACTTTCCCCTCGCTCTCTCTTTGTCTAGCTAAAAGGGACATAAATATCAGAGCGAGCAAGGTAGTAGAGGAAACAATAACCCAATGCAAATGTCATTGGCAAAGTCAATTAGAAGAGTAACTGGCAACAAACTGAGGATAACTTGAATCGAAATGCTGCTGCAGTTGCACAATTCCAACTAAATAAGTGTAGCAGAGTGTAGTGTGTGTGTGCGTGACAAAGCAAGACTGATTTTAATGTTTAGTTAGATTATTTTTAAAATAAATCAACTATTCTGCAAACCAAAAGCAAGAGCGAGAGAGAGAGAGAGCCGCATCAGCAACAGCAGCGAATAATCCAAGCGGAAACCTTAGCAAAGAGGGAAAACAGGAAGAGCTAGAAGAATCCCATACAAATCAGAAGCAACAGCAAAAAACAACGACAGACAACCCACAAACAGAATCATACGCAACAATGCTCGTGTTCATAGCCATACTGTTTGTTAATGCCTGCCTGGCGGGTGAGTACAAGAGACATACATACATACATATATCTAACAATTTATAAACATACATTTACTTCTAAATACATATCTAATATAAGGCTAAAACAATTTAGTTTTATATGGGATATTTGAATCTTATTTACGACCCTGCCAAATGCTCATTGAGCTAGTCTTTTAATGGACTTGCCACTAAGATATATAGTCATTGCCTTATAGCTAACACCAAGAGCAAAGCAGTAAAGTATAAGTTTATATTACGCAAGTTTGCCGCAAGACTTAAGACTTGAGGTAATCTGATAATCCCATTTCTCAGAGTCATAAACTTGGCTGGCTAGCTGTGGTGATTCGTATTCACATCATTTACAAGGATAATCACATAATAACAAGCAATTATTATTATAATAGGCACCATTCCCGCGACGCCGGAGAACATAACCGTAACCTTTCTGACACCCACTGCGGTGCGGGTGTCATGGCAAACGCAAATCGACCTGAAGGCACATCCCATCGAGAAGTACGTCGTGACGTACAAGCCGACAGACGACAGGTAGGTACCACTGACAAAGCAAGAACTCAATCTACCCACTTGACTTGGCTAAATAACGGCCGAGTACACTTCAAATGTAACTGACGCATGGGTGGGGGCGGGGCGGGGCTGGGCAGAAGAGGCAGCAAGTCAAGTGCATTTATGCAGGCGAACAAGTAAAATATGTATTTTGTATGCAATTGACAGGCAGGGCAGCAGGGCAGGCGGAGTGGTATGGCGCCCGGAGGTGGCAGCGGTCAGTTAAGAGCAATGTGTGCGTGTACAAGTGTGCTCGTGCTTCTTTGCTGGCTAGTCTGCGTGTCAGTGTGTGTGTGTGTGTTTGTGTTTGTGTGTGGCAGGTGGCCATGAGCTAAATAACGGCCCAACTAAAACCAACAGCGAAAGAAAAACCAAAGAAAAGAAAACAAAATAGGAAAAGTTAAGGCCAAATTTACCGCGAATGCAGGCCAAAAGAAAAACAAAAGCCGCGTGGACTTGTAGCAATGTTATTTAAAACAAAAGCCAACAGAAGAAGTGAATAGAAGGAACACTGAGAAGGCGGCAGGAGAAGTGGAAGTGGGAGTTTAGCAGGAAAGCAAGTAAATGTCTACAGTGTCTACAGTATATACATATGTACATGCATATATGTACATATGTACGTAGTGGGTGTGTGAAGAGTAGAGCAAACATTTCTTAGAGACTTTGTTGCTGTGTGCCATTTAACTCGCTCTCGTGCTCTCGTGTGCTCTCATGTGCTCTCGTACGAATGCAATATTTTCGATGATTTACCGTAATAATTTAGCTCAGCTGCAGCTGTCTTGCCTCGACTCCACCCGCATCCCCTTAACCAAGCACTCATCGCAGCTCTCCCACCATCTCTCACACTTGCTGCTCCCTTGCTGATTTGCTGTTGCTGCTGCTGCTGCTGTTGCTGCTGCGGCTGCTGTTGCTGCTTCTCATCGCCTGCGTGGCGCTGGGAACACAGTCAGACAGAGACAAAGACAGAGAGAAAGAGAGTGAGCGGAGAGTGTTGGCATGCCGGAATGGGCTGCATATTTCGACTACAAACTAAGCACTTCCGCTCCGGCTGGGGCGCCGGCTCCCAGCATGGGAATGCTGGTTTGGGTTGCTCGCTTGGGCTTTAGCCCGTTCGCTGGCTGTGCGCTAGCATGCCGTGTAATAACTTAAGTGCTCGACTTTTGTACTTTTTGACTGCTGCTGCTGCTGCTGCAGTCCGCACAGTCCGCGACCAGGAGTCATGTGTTTTTTTGTTGTTTGGTTTTTTTTTGTTCTTTCAATTTAATGGCTCATATTGCGTGTGAGTGTGTTGAAGCGTGTTTTGTCTTTTACTGCCCTCCAGTCCAATGCCAAAGCATTGATGATGTTGTTGTATTTATTGTCCCGCTGCTGTTCTTCCATAAAGTTCACGCCTATGTCAAAAATTTTATTACAAAGGCAGTGGGCCTGTTTTTGTCCTGTTTCACTGGTCATTATTTATAAGTGAGTTTGTTTTTAATTCTTGTGTGTTTCTTTCGTATCGATTTTTGGTGTATTACCCACTACCAACGCGTCGGTCGGGTCGGTCAGTCATTATGGTGGACCGTGGCCGTGCCGTTGCGGTGCGGTGCGGCGTGTACTACTCGTTGTTAGTTCCATATTTCAACCGTTTTTCGAGTAAATTGTGGACCTGAATAATGTATGATTAGTACATAGACACGTTGACGGTGAGTCGTCGGATCCGGGTTTTGGCTTTGGCCCTGGCCCAGGCCCAGGCTCTGCCTCTGGCTCTAGTTCAAATTCAACCACCAAAGTGGAACATTTTGTACACTCAAAGAAATGAACAAGCCCCAAATTGTATTAGGAATGTAGTCAAAATTTATTCCCTAATTTCTTCCTTATTTCCGTTCCTCAATTTTTTTCTCAGTGTAGCCTACATGCTCCAAATTACTAAGTGGATTTATGAAATTCTTGACGAACAATGTGTGTGTTTGGGGGACGAAAAGGTTCGAGTTGAGTTCAATATGTCCAAGCATGTCAAGCACCATCAATAACAATAATAATTAATACCAATTACTGTCCCACCGAAGGAGGTACTATTACGGTCTCTGTTCCCCCCGGTACGAGGCTGGCAAAGGGCGGTAGCTGTGCCGCCTCGACAGTTGGTGAACACCAATCAAAATGTAGCACCGGTGCGCTAGATTTTATTCATTTATCGTTATCAATTCTTTTAGAGCCAATTTGACATTATTAAAATTGAAATGTCAAGGACCAGCCACACATAAGAGTGCTTCAGGTACATACATACACGTACATAGCTTTTGTGTCACGTAAAAGCGGATAAGACTTGTGTGCCTGTGCCTGTGTCTCCTCCTACCACTGTCTCTGCCATGACAACATAAATTTCCCAGTATAAGCCCTACAACTGCTTGACAACAGGGACAGAAACGGAGAGCATACCATTAAACTGATTTGTATGTGGTTCACATAGTCTGCGATACGAGTGCTCGTATTACAGAAATAATCCAGCCTAAGCTGGTGTACAGGAACTTACAAGTTTCCTATTAGCTTTCCATAGCAGACGTCCCTGATCAGCAGATATCCTTCATTAGACATTGATGGAACTGTCCCACGAAGGAGGGCGTATACGCAATTTTAATTGAATTTCGAATACAAAGCAAAATTGGAAAAGCCCACAAAGTGGGCTTACCTTACAACCAGCAATGACACCACCACCACTCCACCCACATAAACAATATCCGGCCTAGAATAAAGTTGTAGAACGTGCACTTTGCACATCGTAAATTATTTAATAGGAACAGAGAGAAACTCTTATCCATCCACGTTCCCTAGTATTTATGTGACTCAGTCGTGTTTGCATATCGAAGAGCCACTGTGGAGTTCCAGAAATGGACACGAGTCAGTGGCAAACGCATTCGTATGGTATTCACTGGCCTCTAAGCAAATTATTTATTAATAAAGCCAGACATGAAAAACCTGACATACAAATAATAAATATAAAAATTGAAACATAAAACGAAATTCATACACGAGCATCTTTGGACCTTTGCGAGTTTCACACCAGAGCTCACCAAATTGCGAATATAAAATTTTGGCCAGAGCCCAAGCCATGGCAGTAAAAAGGAAATGGCCAACGGGCAGGGGGCAAGGCTAAGGTGGGGTAAAAAAAAAAAACATCATGAAATTGAGAATACTCCCTGGTGCTGGTGTTGCTGCTGCTAAAAATTCACGTGCATTTCTAATGCCAGCTAAGAACGAGCAAAGGGTACAGGATCCAACCCAGAACCGAATTGGAGCCATGGCGTGTGCTTAAATTGTGGATAATAAGCACCTTCTACATCGACTTTAATGCCAGACAACCCACCAAGGAGTGGTTAGTGGAACGGGGAGGATTAAATTTGATTTTCCCCAGGCGTCACCACATGCTGAAAACTTAACTGGGAAACTTTAGACAACGCCTGGCCATGTCACATATGGCTGATGTTTGCATAAAACGGCCCAATTTCCATTGCCCTGCAGCCACGACTCTATTAGCTGTGCAGAAGTGTATGCGACGAGTGTGTAAATGGAGCCCAGTCTCAAATCAATTATGTATTTAGCTCCTGGCTGGAGGTAATTCATACATTTATAATGAGCGAACAATACGGGTTAGAAGATGAATATCTACCAAAATTAGCATAAGCCGAATAAGTAGCTTACTCGTACAGAGATATTTTCATCGTCCTTAAGATGATTCAGTGCTTATTAACGAAAAAATGGCAACATGGGAATGTTATTCTTCTCTTCTGCTGTCAATTCTGGCTTTATCTTATGCCATTCGATTTTTAACTGAACTTTTCTGCTAGTGTTTAGTGTCCCCTTAAACAATTGTATTTCAATCCGCATTAAAGAGCATTGGCATTCGACTGTTAATGTTCGTCCTGGTTACTGGCTTTTAACGTTAATGTTTGCTTGTATGTCGCTGTTTTTGTTTTGTCTGACATGGGAACAAGCGAAATGCGGGCAACTTCTGTTTGGTCTTTAGTTCCTCTGGGTACCATTGCGACGTGAATGTACTGGTGTTGTATGTATGTCCAGAAATGTGAGTGTTGGTTACGGGCTTCTGGTGTACGAGTGTGTATCGTATATACATATACACTTATATAGCATGTATGAATAATGAATCATTTGTCAGACTGTTGTGGCGGCGACCATAGTAATGGGAGATATTGCAGAAGTCTGGGCACTTTTCCTGGCCACGCACAAGCCATGGAACGAAAGGATAGCTTAGAAGGCAGCAGGCAGAGCTCCACTGCCTGCTCTGGTGTGTAATGTGAGCTCTCGATTGGCAAATCTAGGACATGTTGGGTATTCTGTTCCAGCGAAAGTGACAAAGTGAAATATTGGCCAACGCTGTAATTACGTACACACGGACCGACCGGCCTCATATATCACGCCGGGATTGTTTGTAGTTGTTCAATTAGCAACAAAACGGACACACACACACATACTCGTACATATATCACGCATACGTATGCACTATCCTCGCACCGTACACCGCCCGGTCCCTTAGTTGCCATACGAGAGTGGTAATTGAATTAATTTAAGTTACAGGGTTGTACAGGACGTTGCCGGTAGCAGCGAGGCCATTGTCCTGGATCGTCTACTGCCCAGCACACAGTACTCGCTGGTCGTGACGGCCATCTGGCAGGGCAAAAAGTATCGCAGCCGTGGCCAAATTAAGTTCAGGACCCTAGGTGAGTCTCGTGCATATCCGATCCATCCCACAAATAGATCCAAAATGTGCTGTTTCCGCCTGCAGATCTGCCCAGGAATACCTCTGAGCAGGACTTTCCGCCTGGCATCTTTGGGAACGGCAACGGGAATGCCAGTGTACGGAACGCAACCGGAAATGGAAGCAGCTTTGGCGATGATGTGACCTCCACGGCCACCAATACACTGACCCATAGCACAACCCGAGAGTTGCCCACTGTAAGATGGAGCAGAGAGCGAATATAAAAGAGTGTAAAATAATGAATACGAAAAATCTTTTATTGACAACAGATACGCGGTGTGGAAATCGGCATTGTGCTGATCGTGCTCATGGTGTGGGCCGGCGCCATAGCTCTGTTCTTCAATCGTTGGGGCAAGATCCGAATGCTGCTCCCCTACCAGCCGGACTACAAGCACGAGCAGCTCAAGGTGCCGGGCACGGGAGTGTGCAGCGCCAGCGGCTGCAATGGCCAGCACTCGCATCAGGTACGTTCCACAGCACTTTGCCCAGTGCGGGCAGGTGGGAATGGTTGTGTGTGTGTTTGTGTGTGTGTGTGTGTGTGTACGTGTGGGATTCCGCGGATGGGGTATACGCTCTGGATGCCCTTGCGTCCTGTTTTGGATTCCACATCATATTCGCGAAAAACTTATCTATGTTTCATTTCTGTTATGCTTCATTTTTAGAACCTACACCCCGATTTCTTTGTCAAGGTATTCCAAACTAACAAATTCTTCAAACTACTACTTGCATACGTATGAACCAACAAACCAAATATTTTTGCATTTAATTAGCTTTTTTTCTATGCATCAAACTCAAGTAAACATTTGACTATTATTGAACTACCAGCATACAATATGTACCACACCGTTTCCTTTTTATCTCGTGCACCCGCCCGCCCGTGGAGTTTGTCTATCCCCCCGCCCGGACTCAGACCCTGCTTTACCCCAAACACCAGCATAATCAAAAGTCTAGACAGTGCATCTGGCCAAAGAAGAAGTTTCGATTCCAGCAAAGAGGTCCCCTACTGATTTTTCCTATGATTTGCTTAAAAGGAATGGCACCTGCTACTTTCGTATTGATTTTGGCTTCTTTTTGTTTTCAACCGTACAGAACTGGCCGTTTTCTCGGTCGATCGCAGGCCGTCCTGGGCCGTGCGCAGGCTTACCTTAGTTTTAGATTCCACTTAGATTCGATTAGCAAGACCGACCAAACCCAGAACACTTTCATCCTCGTATTATTAGCTCGTATTATCCACACATTGCCTAGATCTACTACTTATACATATATTTATTGCATTTAGCGGTTTTGGTTTTTGGTTTTGGTTTTGAGCTTTGCTGTTCAGGTTCGAGCTTTGCAATGAAATCACTGACAAAACGTTCCTTACTTTCACTTCGCTCTCCTCTCGCCTGCCCTGCCGACCCTGCTCGTGGTCCTGCTCCCGCTCCTGCTCCTGCTGCCGCCTTCTTTTGATTTTGTTGGGGTATTGCTCTCATGGCAGTGCCTGCCCCGCTGCGAGGGGTGCGGAATTTTCGATCGCTGCTTCCAGTATCCGCGACGGGAGCTGGAGCGCGACTGCGGCTGTCAGTTCGCCCTGCTGCACAAGGCGGACGTCGAGAGCTAGCAACCAGCGCACCGCGAAGCGGCCTCCTCCGCAGTAAATGCTGCGGCCAGCCACGGACATGGACACAGCCATGGCACGCCCATCAACACGTATGTCCGGGGTCCCAGCGTCGACAATCAGTCGATTGTGGGCGCCCACAGTGTGCTGGAGAATGTGGACAGCCTGGATAGCCACACCGCACCTGAGGATCACGATGTCGATGCCGACGAGGCGTTGGCCAAGGAGAACGAGAACCAGCATCTGCTGCAACGGGAAAGGGAGGCAGCCGCCCCTCCCCAGCGCATCCTGCCCCTGCAGGCGGGCGCCACCAAACAGCGAAAGTTCACCCAGCAGCGTAGCATACTGAAGAACTCCCAGGAGCGGACCTTTGTGGAGGAGAACGATGTACTCGAGGCCAAAAAGCAGCTGATCCTGCGTCGCCGTCGTCTCTTGAGCCACTACAGGCAGTACGATCAGTGGCGGCGGCGGCAATTCAGCTACGATCCCAGTTACTTTCGCCCGCCTCCGGCACTCCCTCGAACGCTGGCATGCGCTGATTACAATGCAGCCGGCATGGGCCAGGGCATGGGAGCCAGTGGGCCAACAAGCTGTGCGTCCTCCATCAACGCAGGACGGCGGCGGCGTCAGTACCGGCGACAGTACTCCTGCGCCGATCGCAGTCGGGAGGGCTCGCGCGACGTCAGCCGCAGCTCGTCCCGCCTGCAGTTCCAGAAGTACCACAGCATGGTGGCCAGCGACACCATACACACCGATTCGTCCGTGCTCAACCACAGCAACTACAGCGAGCCGGCCAGCGTAAGTCGTTCCCACAAAACTGCTTGGTGCACGGATTTTGTTTCGAAATGCAAATTCAAATTCAAATACAAATTCAAATTCAGATTGCAGCAAGACGTTTCGCTCGTTCCGATAACGATTTCGATAATTGCACGATCGACTTGCACCTTTGCCGTGTGTGTGTTATTCGTCGTTTCAGAGTCGAGTCGGCGCAGAGCACCAAATCAATCGCACCTGCAATCAAGCACACACACACACGCACAGAAACACACCCTGTACAGATGAACAGTTATCAATTGTAGCAATGAAACGGATCGGATCTCATCTGATTCTGGCGCCGCGCACATCCACACCACTCTCACAGCAATTCACCAATCGCAAACACGCTAGAGCATCTGCATATCCTGGCTTCCCGTACCTTTGTATCTTTGTAGTTGTTAGGTAGAGGCGCCACCGCTCCCACGCTTTTCGCTTGCTCTTGTTGCTGATGTTGTTGTTGTTGCTGTTGCTGGCCGTAGGACTCTGATGGTCTGAAGGTCAGTTGTTCGAGTGGCAGGCGGATCACTACCGCTGCCCAAAGGCTTATGTTCTGTGTTCTGAGTGTGTAAATCTTGTTGCCCCGATTTTCCGAGCGAGACTGTGACACTTTCTCCTCTCTACTCTTTCCTATCTCTCTATCTGTTTCTTTCTGTGCGCTCCTCCGCTCTCCTTTTGGTGGCGCAGTTCGACAGCAGTGACTGTGCCAACGCCAATCCACCGTTGCACTGCAATAGCCGCGTAAGAACCTTGAGCAGAACCATCGGAACGACCCCCAGATCGAGGCCTCTACTGACACTCTTTCCATTGCAGCACATCCACATGCTGGCCGAGGAGCACTCCACATCCATATCGGAGCGCTGTACCCGGAGTCGCATCAATTCGGCCATATTCGTCTCGTCGGAGGGTCGCGGATTCGACTCGATTGAGTTCCTGCGCCGCCACGGCTCCCAGAGTGTCCTTTGCCGAAAGGCCAAGAGTGCGGAGAATATCACGGACAATGGCAGAAAGGTAACTCGATCATTTTATATGTTGCACTTGCCACAGTCACCTCTAAAGCCGTTCTAATCCTTGCAGAAGAGCCTCCGGCAGTGGCGAACCGATGACGAAACCGTCAAGCGCCAGAATCTTTCCCAGGAAAGCAACGACATAGAGATGAAGGAGTGCGGACACGGGGGAGAATTCCTCCGCCTGCCAGTGATCCACGACGCAAAGCCATCGGCCACAGCTGTGACTAGCCTGCTGGCTCGCTCGGCTGCCATCACCACGGCCAACATGATTGTGGGCAGCATTTCGCTAGAGGCGCCGCCGCCGTACATGCAGGACGACGACGCCGATGTACAGTCGACCGCTGCTCTGATTCACAGCGATGGCGCTGCCATTGTGCACGAATCGCAGGACTCGGCGGAGACGGTGGAGGAGCTGGTACATGTCCCGCTGCTGGCCAGTGCCAACGCCACTGCCACCGTTTCCGCCTCATCCTCGCCCAGCTTTGCCATCGAGGCGAAGCCACGAGTTCTGGTCCATCAGCGCTCGTCGACAGCCTCCTCATCGCCGCATAGCAGTCCCAAGAACCTGGCACTGGGGCTGAAGATAATCAAGCCCAAGATCAGTGCTGTGCCAATGGTTTCCGTCTCGGGGCCTTCGCCGCCCATTGAGAAGCCGCCGCTGGCGGAGTGTTTGTAACAAATGGCAGCCGAAACATTTATCTAAGCGCACGCTCAAGGCATCTGGACATCAGACTCAGTCCCAGCACCAGCCAACACACACCACACACAGACCCAGATCCAGACCCATCCTAAACCCTTAAAATCGACTAATGTGAGAAATGAGACGAAAAAGGTGGACTTAGAATGCCAGCAGCTCAAATAAGTGTTTCGGTGAGAGATGTGAGAGAATTTGAACGAAGAAGGAGTGGAAGAGAAGTAGATATAGGAGAATACTGTACCAAAGGTCATCACCCATCACCAGGGAAGAAAGCTTTGTATATTCAACAACGACTGAAGTATACACATACCTACATTAATTGAAAACTGAACAAATGAAAAACAAAAACAAAAACAAACATGGAACCTATAGAACTTTATATGCCGTTATATATGTACATATGTATGTATGTTTGTGTACTATATACATATAATGTAACTGATAAATCAGCTTTAACAACAAACGAGTAAACTATCAGGCTTTAATATTATGATTATGATGATGAATTTCTGGTTTAACCTAGTCCGTAGACGCACATAGCTGTTGTATGTATGAAATAAGTGAACCAACAAAACAACCAACTCTCTTTTATTGTTCTCCTATACATATAGCCAAAAAAAACAAAGCACTTTTGGGGCACCACAACTGTTATACACGCGACCTATACACAAACACGGATATATACATCTATATTTATATACCACGTTAACCCACATACTCGTGTGTATTTTTATGAACAAAATCTTAGACTAATTTCCTTAGACTAGAACACCCGCTAAATGCCTGGCTCGTAGCTTTAAGACGATCTAACGAACGAACGAACGAACACACATAGTCCAAATGTTACTTGCTAACATATCAAACAGACAAACACACAAACACACATATATGCATACTCTACTCTACCCACGACCAAAGCGAAACGTTTGAAACTGTAAACTAGTCTATAAATACATAGTTATATGCATATCATAAGGATATAGTTAAATGTAGAGTTTGAAACGTGTTTTTAAAAATCGAGTTCCAATGTGTATTTATTCAGTGTAGTCAAGTCATTTCTGTAGTTCGATTTATACACGATTGAGCGGAGATAATGCATGGATTTATATACATAAACCTAGGGAGTTAGGAACATTATTTTAAGAAGCTCCAACCCGCACCATACCATACGTTTGCTCCTACTCCTCCTTTCCTCCTCAAACACCGTTTTAGGTAGTCTCTATACATTTTAGTTATGATACTAAAATTTATACTATATATCTATCCACGTACTATCCACCTACCTACTATTTACATACACACACAATTGCGACCTATGGCTCCTAATATTGAATTTGTTTGAATAAATCTACAACATGAAATGTAAATATATCCAGCACTCGTACCTACCTACCATGCATATTTAAGCTGAAATACTATTCAGTGGAACACACAAAATGTTGTTATTAAGGAATTGTCAATTTATGGTCCAAAGCTACAATAAAGAGAACGAACACCACACCACTTGGATGGGTCAAACAAATAGCTTAACTAAGTTCTAGTTTATGTTTGATTCGCTATTAAGCAAAAGTAAAATCATGTGAATGTGTATTTTTGAAATCAAATAAACGAATTATATTAATACTCGTTCTCCTTTAGCATCTACTCAAGTCCCAGCTGTTGGGTGGGGATGATGACTTTCTTTTCGAATATCACACAATGATTGCCCTGATCATAGTAGCTCTGTTTAAGCTCAACCTCTGGCAGCTGGGCCACTAGCTTCTCCAGCTCCTGCTCCTCGAATACGTGATAGTAGCGTAAAAACGTTGTGCGTTGCTCATCCTTGCTCTTCCAGGGTACTAGAACGTCCTGCTGCTGGAACTCGGTGCGGTTGGTGTGCACTGGGAGGGCAACATGATCCCGTGGCCGCTGTTCAAGTTCCTTCTGCTGCTTCTGCCGCTGCTCCTGTTCGGTGGTGCGCTCCTTGTTCACGGCCTTGTTTTGCCTGAGGTAGGAGGATTTCTTATCGTTACGTCGCTGTTCCTTGGCCCAGACATAGACCAGTGCACGGCCACCAGGACGAAGAACACGTGTCATCTCCCTCAGAGCGCCTAGGCGACGTTCGGCACTGGCCAAATGATGGATGACAGCAATGCTGATGCACCCATCGATGCTAGACGAGCGCACGGGTAAATTGAGACAGTCGCAACGGAAGACGTTCTGACCCTTCTGTCGGCCGACTGCGAGCAATCCTTGGGAACGATCACATCCAATGGCTAGGACTTGGGTATTGCAGCCCAGGTACTTGCCATTGCCACAGCCGACGTCGAGGACCACAGAGGCGGAATCGAAGCTATCCAGGAACTGGGCCACCTGAGGCCAGGGCGAGTGCCGCGTCTCACTAAAATGATTTGCAATTTTATCGTAGACCTCGTGAACATTCTGCTGCTCCAGGCTAACGGCTTGGTCGGCCAATGTGGTGGACAACTCTTGCGGCACTTTCGATTGCTGGCTGTCACACAGCGTGGGGTAGGAGCAGTTGCAGTTGCCTAGTCGCAAGCGTCTAAACGTAAGGGATGTCCTCTTGCTGCGGGCCTGCGTGGTCAAACTTCCAGTTGGTGTGGGCACCACATCGATGTGCTTGGGCTTAATGCCATGCGTCCAATCGTAGCGAGCTTCGCCGGACATGATCAACAGGGAGCGGCGGGGCAGCTTCACCTGAACCTGCTCCTCACCACGCCGAAAATCCATAACCACATCAGACTGCAGGGACAGTGAAAGAATGGGATCCAAAAATGCACTGTGGGTGTCCACATGAGGCGGTATGCCATGTCCTGGCTCGTACTCATTGACAGTCAGTTGGTCTGGCGTGCTCCAGTCCCAGGAAGAAGAAAACTTCTCAACTCGCGGCCAGAGAAAATCACAGGCTGTGGGTATGGGCTGCTCCAGAGGTCGCGTGGGGTCCACGTTGTTGCTGCCATATAGAAACTCGAAGCCAAAATGCTTGACATTCCGGTGTTTAAGGGTGCCCTCATATGATCTACCATCTTCGGCAATGGATCTAAGCAGCGTCGCCTCCTCCGCATCGCTGACAAAGTCTGGCAGTACGATGAGCCCGCTGGGCAGCGTTTTGTTCCACTCACTTTTGCCGGCCAGCGTAGGCAATTCCTTGACATAGCTTAGATAGGCCACTGCTCCCTGCTGTCCGATGGTCGCCACATTGTGTATGCCCGTGTAAACAAGCTGGGCGTCCTCTATCGTGCAGCAAACGAGAAAACAGTACGATTTTCCGGTCAACATTGCCACCTCAGAGACGCTGCCACCTGTTTGGGCGGCAGCTTCGAGTAGGCGTTCCTCAGTGAGTCCATTGCTGAGTCCCACGTTCAGAATTGCCAAGTAAACGGTGGGGGTGTCGCTGAAAGACACATCGCAGTCGCTTCTGATAATTGCCAGACATCTACGCCGTTTTTTATCAGCTTTTTTAGCATTGTTTACAATTTGCTGCTGTTGCTCAACGTGCATGCTGCCGCCAGTGTGTACATATCGCGACAAATGGAAATATTAAGAAAATCAACAAATATTAGGGGGATATCAATTGCAAATGCAATATATCAATTTAATTATTCATATAATATGTATGGTATACCCTCCTCAAGCCTTACTAAATGCTTATAGTTATTGATAGTGAAAATCTTACATGTATGTATATTAATTTAAGTCTATATTCTACCAGACTCTATCAATCATGCTGTTGTCCTGCGGCTTCTGATTCATCGTGGTCAACTGCTGATGGTAGTTGCGCATCTGATTGCTGCGGCGCGGCTGGGCCAGATACTCGAACATGCTCTGCAGATGCTGCGACAACATTTTGCTCAAGTCACTGGGCATGGGATCGGTCCAGAAGAAGTCATGGTTCAGTGCTGTGTCCGCATCAATGCGCTTCTTGGGATCCAAAGTCAGGAGTTTGTCGAGCAAATCGCACCCAGTGGGATCCTTAACATACGGACGCAGACGCTCCTTGACGCGGCGCTTCTGATTCTTTGGCAGTTCAATGGACTTGTACAGTTCCAGTTCCTCCACTCCTGGCCACACGTCTGGCGTAAACGATCCACACAGCTGCGAAATGAAAGTCAGCTGCTGCTGCTCTGTGTTGCCCTGCATAATGGGAGAGCGTGTCCACATCTCGGCCATAATGCAGCCAGCGCCCCACATGTCCACAGGCGGACCATAGTTGCGATCTCCCAGCAGCAACTCGGGCGGACGATACCACAGCGTAACGACTCTGTTTGTGTAGCGATTCTTTGAATCATTCTTTGGGATACTAAATGCGCGAGCTAAGCCAAAGTCGGCCAGCTTCAGGATTCCATGTTTTGTAATCAGAACATTGGCAGCCTTCATATCTCTATGCAAAATCTGGAAGATGGAAGCCAATAATTTATGGGGTTTTGGTGTAATCTTAACAATTAATATTACACACCTTGTTGCTGTGTATGTAGTAGAGGCCGTTCAGCAGCTGCTGCATAACCTTTTTGATCTCCCCGAGGCTGAATTTCACATTCATGTTCGACAGCAGCCCGGCCAAATCGTGCTCGCAGAAATCAAAGACCAAATAGAAAGTGGACCTGTAGCCATTTGTGGCTGTGGCCTTGGTGCGGCAGATCTCAATCAGGTTAACCACATTTTCGTGCTTCAGCAGCTGCAGGATTCGAATCTCACGCAGGGCTGTGATGGGAAACTATTCAAGAGAGATATTTTGGTATTTACTCGCGTTGAAACATTTCGTTGACTCACGCCTTCCTTTTCGTTGTCCATGAGCACTTTTTTCATGGCCACAAACTTTTTGTTGCTCTTCTTCTCCCGTGCCTTGAACACCTCGCTGAAATACACAGAAAATGTTTTCTATTTAATGCTCAGTACATGCATATATGCTTTGATTAACTCACCCAAAGGTCCCCTGTCCAATCTTGGCCACCTTTTCATATTTGCTGCTTTCATCGCAGTATGGGAAATCGTAGTCTTCAATGTACTTCTGCTTCTCCATCAGCGACATGGTCCGCGATGAGGTTGAGGCCACGCTGGAGGACGTGGACGGTTGCTGCAACATGTGAGACATGTGCGACATGGTCAATTTACGTTAATTGCACAAAATTTCAAAGTCCCTGGATGTCAAAATCAATGAATGCAAGACAACAGATGGGACGACGGTGCACCGCCAGAAATATACTTTCTTATGTTCAGAAAATACCGTAAATATACTTTTAGACGTAATCCCGAAATATCCCGAAAAGAGTATAGTATACCGTAAACGGTCACCCTGCCACCGTCAACAGCTGACCCGCAATTATAATTTTCCGTTTGTTTGTGTACACTGGCCAAGTGATATAACCTATCGACCACTTGGCTACAAAATAAAAACCGAAATTAATGAATAAACTATTAAATATAGCGCAGGCAGTGCCGCGCCAATTTGTTCGTGAATATGCCTTTAAGTCGGACCTGAAAATCAAATGGGTGCGCCCAGAGAAGATCTCCTGCATTAAGCCAGAAAAGAGTGGCGATCTCTCCAAGCTGACACCCCTGAATGCCGACGAAGTGCTTCTGGACTATAAAGATTGTAAGGAGCTTGAAAAGTAAGTTCTGCTAACAAATCGTTGTGTTGCCGAATGTATTAAAAGTAATTTTCGTTTCCTTTCCTAGTGCCGACGATACGGTTAAATCGCTTTTTAAGCTATCCAACAATGCCAACCATCTGACTACACGTTATTATCGCGATCAGATGGTAAAGGAAGTGCAGAGGCATGCCCTGGACTATGGATCCATGGAGTCAAAGTGTATGTATCAAATGATCAATTGTTAAGAACTCACTGGTTTATTACCCGCTTGCATTTAGTTCACTGCTTAAAAACTTGAAACTGATTTTTATTCTCTAGAATTATTGCCTTAAATAGCTTTATCTAACGCTATGACAGGGAATACAGGGGTACACTGCTTGGTTACTTAGTTCATCCAGATTTTATGGGTGTGTTTTGTGTTTGGGTTTTTTCAGGGGTTTTATTTTTTTCACAAGCGCTCCTGCATAATAACCAATAATAACCCTTAATTATATTCGTCCATTTTTAGTGGCCAACATGACCGCCATTATTCGTCGGTATCAAGAGCATATGGATAAGCATCCCCGCGACAAGATGATTAAGGTGCGTCTCAAGGAGCTGATTGATAAGCGCAAGAAGTTCCTTAAATATCTGAGACGCTGGGACTATCCCCGCTTCGAATGGATATTGGAGAAGCTTGATTTGGTATACAAGCCACCGCCAGCACATTTCCACTGGATCACACGCAAAGAGTCGCTCCAGAAGTTAACCGACACCTATTGCGAAACATTGAAGGAGGAACGTCTAGAGGCCTATCACAAGGAGCTGCAGGCCCAAAAAATACCCTTTTTAGAAGATGCCATCCGAAAAATGGAATTTATACGAAAAGAGCAAATATCCTGCGATATTCCATTGACGGTGACCGAGGAGCAAATCGAGCAGTCGAAGAAAGAGTTGACCCTGTTGATAGAGCAGCGCGATGCGGCAGCCGCTGTTACCAGCCAAAAACAAGACGAGGATAGCTTCAATTAGGACCAATTCTTTTATATTATTGTGTCTTACAATAAATGTGAATGCTGATGTTCTTAAATTATGTGTTTTATTATAGTGTTTTAGAATAAATTTGACCTTATTATGCATGTCATGTTCGAGGGCAGCGCAGAGTTTGTAAAGTAAATAAATAAACAAATAAATATCCCCTCCGCAATAAGTGAAGAGAAACGAAACGCAATAAAATTTAGCTAACGTCTGCTGGGCAATGCAGTGCGCTTCTTGGCACGCCTACTGGTGGACCCACTGCTGTTCGAGCTGCTCGAGGATGACGACGATGATGACGAGTCGCTGGAGCTGGACGAGCTAGACGAGGACGAGGATGATGCGGACGATGCGGAATCGCGTGAGGTCCGTTTGCTACCCTTGATGGCCCTGCTGCCATTGCCCGCCGGCTCCTTGTTATTGACTTCGGATGAGGTTACTTCACTGTCACCCCATAGATCATACTTGGACAGATCCCCATCATCATCATCGTCGTCCTCTTCCTCATCCTCCCCAGCGTCGCTGGACCTTCTTGCTCGCTTAGACCCATCGCGCTCTTCATGGCTCTTCCGCTTCTTACGGCGTCCGAACTCATCATACTCGCTGTCCGACTCCTGGCGATCCTTGTACTCGACAACTCCGCGATCATTATAGCCACCGCCAAAGCCTAAAAGCGGTCATTAGCAAGCTAATATGCAATTGTGCCGGTGTCCGGAGAGCTTACCAGTTCGCTCCTCAGAATCCGTAAACTTGGGCGAATTACACATGTTGCAGGTCTGCCGCCTGGCCCAGTTCACGTTTGCACACTTGGCGCACTGCCAGTCCTCGGCGCTGAAGAGGCCCCGGGACTTGTCCGCTGCCGCTTTTCCAATTTCGGTACCCAGCTTCTTCTTGCTAGAGCTGCTGCTGCTGCTGCTACTGCCATTGCCCCGATCTCGGTCGCGCTCTGTCTTATCAATGCTATCACGGTCGTGGTTGCATTTATTGCATTGCGTGCGGCGCGCAAAGTTCAGATGCCGACAGCTGCAAAGTCGTGCGAAAACACCAAAATTTACAATTTATTGAATTTTCCTGCTGGTTCTTCTTGGGTATTTGCTTTTCCCTCAATCTTTACGCGCACTCACTCATAATCTGGGCAAATCCAATCACCAGGCGAGACGACGCCGCCGCTGCTGGTGGTGCCGCCGCTAGTGGTACCGCCTGCTGCTCCGCCACTCCCATTGGAATTGGTGGACATGTCTAAGCTCGATTGTAGCTTCTCTGGATGCCACTTACTACTCGGAGTACCCTCTTAGCCTGAGTTGAAGCATTTAAACGACTTTTATACAATTATTTCTGTATACGAATAACATCAATGTTGTTCGAACGTCAAAAAAAAGAACTATTCACCAGTGCTGCTGTTTCAGCTTGTTTCCGGCTATATCTAGCCTTTTTAAGGTGCAACTGCAACTATTTTATTTACGTGTTGTCAACGTCAGTCAATGATATGGCTAATTTACATATTTAGTAGATGTATTTAGTGTCATCCTAGGCTTTGCTAATTCATTTTTGGCCATTTTTAACTATTTTTTTTAAACTAGCTTGTATTGATTCTGAAATTCTGCCTAGACAGCTATTTACTGAAATTAATCAGTTCACCCCCACTCCCACTGGTTCAATAATTCACTATCCATGTCATATTCCTTGATTTTGATATTCGGTTTTGTATTACTAACAAGCTAGGACTTTCAGCACTGGTCATATAATTGTATTCAATAAATTAATCAATTTTTCTCAAGACTGGCTAATTTTAAATACTTCCTTTTATTGAAATAAGTCTTAAACAAACAAAAAGTCAACCAATTCTATTTTTTTACATTTTATCTACACATTTTGCTACATGGCATGTTGCTTGTCAAAGAACTAGCAGTATGAATGTTTGAATTTCATCTAAAATGTAAAAATTCCTCTTTCAAATCTTCTTTAAACCCATTTAATAATGACTTCTTCTCAGATTGACACTTTTGGGCCAGTACTTCGTTGTACTCCATTCACAGGGTATTTGTTTGTTTATTGCCGTTAGATTTTTACGGGCATCCTGTAGTTCCCTCTCCCCACCCGATGATATTTTTGGGACGTAAACCTGGATCGTTAATATTTGTTTATAGCTGCAGGGCCTTAATGAATTAATAGTTTCGAGTATATGCTTTTTTCAGCTAAGTTTCTAACTAACCACAGCACCGGATCGGGGAGCATGGACACCGACCAATCGTAGAACCAATCGATGGTCGTGCAGTACATGGCTGTTTTAACAGCTTGTTCCATCAGATCAAATGTTATAAATAAATCCGATTTTGCCAAGATTCATGTTCTTGGTTACCACTGCCAAGTCTCTCCAAATTGATTTGGATTTCCAAGTGAAATATTCTTGGCTAATAGTAATGCATATATGCATATGTTTAGTGGTGCATAGAACCCACGCAATTTTACCCAATTTAAGTTAATTTATTGTTTACTTTTAGAGTTTTATTTACTTAGTATACAAACAAAAGCCGCTCCAAAAGTAAACACTGATTTTGTATCGTCCTTTGTTTGTTGGTAAAAAGGTGTAACTAACGCATAACCAGCAGCATTTGGAAATTGTCGATGAGCGTTCCAGCAAACCGACAACACACACGCACTCGGAATTTGCCAGAGCATTTACTTCTTGCCAGCACCAATCTTGGCCTTGGCGGTACCACGGACCTTCTTCATCCTGTTGCGACGTTCCTTGCGCTGCTTGCGGGTCTGCTTCTTCTGCTCGAAGAGACCGTGACGGGCCAGACGGTACTTGGGCTCGAACTTCTTGGCAAAGTCCAGGGTGTCGTAGATGAGGGCGAAGCCAGTGGAGCGGCCGCCACCGAAGTTTGTGCGGAAACCGAATGCAAACACGACATCGGGAGTCACCTTGTACATGGCGGCGAGCTTCTCGCGGATCTCGGTCTTGTTGACCGACGAGAGTCCTGGATGCAGAACATCGCAGACCATTTGTTTCCTGGCAAGCAGGCGGTTCGTCATGAACTTGCGGGTGCGGACTGTGGCGGTTGTACCGGACATTTTGACGGAGCTGAAACACAAAATACACTCATTAGTCAATCGTTTTACACAAAGGTTCTACCAAAAGGTTTGCCACTACAAGTTGTTGTTGTTGTCTCTGTGCGAATCAACATAACCTCACTGCAAGCAATGTGAATGCTCCGCTGACCAGCTCGAGACTCTCCACGTGTGGCACGCCGCTCGCGGCACTTGTTTATACACGCCCCATCCCCGCTGCCCACACGACCAGGCATGTGCACAATTGCGCAGGGTTCTTCGGGTTCATTTTCAAACACTTTGGGCCAATAATTACCTATTAAAACACTCGAAAACGTTTTAAACACGTCTCACTGCGAACGCGGATTTAGAAAGGAAGATGGCCGCGGACCTATCGATAAAATATACCGTCTGACCCGCATAAATATACTGAAATGTGCGTTATCATTTTTATAATATACCGTAAATATACCCTTAGAGCCGTAAACGGTCACATTGTTTTACTATCGGCTTAAATAAATTTATTTGTCGGCCATAAACTAATTGCACTATAATAATTAGCAAAAACACTATGCATTCTGTGGTTACGCAGATTGTGAAAACTGCAAACATAATTTTTTTTCCAGAAACTTTCCAGAAGCTATCGATATGCAGAAAAACAGCAAGCATGTTGTCAAAAAAACTTTGGCGCACTTTCCAATTTATTAATGTAAATAAAGCTACAATTAATTTGCATTCAATACACTGTACTTCTTTCTTAAAACTAATTCAATTTGGTGTTCTTGCCAGAAAATTTCTTCTTCCAAACAAATATGGCCACAAAGCACAGAGCCACCAGCAGGCCAACAAAAAATAACGACACTCCAAAGTAGAACAAGAACAGGTCGGAGAGGTGCAAATGATTCGAGGAGATGCCGACTCCTCGCGTTCTGATCGCAGCGCCCCCCTTATGCCTTGCCACATAGTTCACCCAGAACATGGCGCTGGCCAGGGCGCCCAGCGGCCTGTCCCGGAACTCCAGCGAAACATCGCGAATCGTAACCTGATACTGTGGCTCCTGCAGCAGCCTGTCAACAGCCCAGGACAGGGATGCAATGGTGACGTTCTCTTGCTCCAGCTTCAGGCCAACACCCAGCTTCACTGCCAGCTCCATGTTCTGCCGCTCGTTCTGGAAGATTGGCAGGCCTAGAGTCGGCACATTTCTAACGATTCCCTCCTGCAGGCTGAGCAGATCTCCGTTCATTATGAAGGCGTTCACCCGAGGATGTGCCAAGATGTCGATCTGCGGCACCGCATGCTGGATCATCACGTTCTTGGGCAGACCCTCCAATGTCTTCACATCGTGACAGGACCAAATGAATTTTTCATTGCGGGTGGCAAAGAACCCTAGGAGCGCCTCCAACTTCAACTTGGGCAGCTCGCCACATGGCTGTTCATTGCCCAGCTGCAAGTAGATGGCTCCGGCACGAGCTTCCTCCAGAAACCGCTTGATATTCCATGGCAGCTCCCGCGGACCACGAATGTGAAGGCCACCCGCGGGCACAATCTGCTGCAGACTCGGACGAGGCGTCATCAGGGGCACGTGGCTGTTGAGCAGGAGCAGAGAAAGCTGATTCGCCTGCAGCTCTGGGATAGTGAATTTCACTTTGAAGTGCTTAGCAATGAGCTGTTCCTGTGCCCCAAAGTGGTCCTTTGCGAACAGCTTCCTGCGCGAGATGCACTCCCGGATGTTTCCCAATCTCGCCGAGAATCCCAGCGAGGGTACATAGTGCTCAAAGTCGATGGGGGAGCATGCCGCTGGCACCATGGACTCCTGTACTGCCTCCATGTAGTTGCCGAAGTCCGTGCTCACAATGCCAACGATAGGCTTCTCGTGGAAATGGCCCAGGGCCAGCAGTGCCTCCGTGTAGAAGTAGTCCAAAATTATCACATCGAAGTCAAACTCCACTGGGGACTGCTGCAGGAGCTTCTGCAGGGGCTCTTGGCTGAGGAAGTGGTCCAAGGCATTGGCTCCGACGATGGCCAGAGACTTGCGAAGACTTGCGGTGGACAATCTGCCCAGATCGGCGAGGTTTCCCTTGGGTGCTGCATGCTTTTGCACTGTTTGTGGAAATGAGAATTGCACTGAGACTTTTGGTTCGCCTACTTACAGTTGCTCCAGAATGGATATTCGGGAATAATCGTCTCTGTCACGTTCTCCAAGTGCTCTCCCAGACCGTGTCCAGTGTATACCGTAACCTGTTGGAGATTTCCAATCACTTATTGTCAGTCTTTGCCGCATGTCATACTCACATTATGCTCCCGGCTGGCCAACTCTGTGACCAGAGTGCGCATCACCGCAAAATGACTCTCGCTGGCATGTGGGAAGAGCACAAGAATCTTGGCTGCTTGGCCGGAGCACAGGCAGATCAGGGAGAGCACAATCAGCTGGATTTGGATCTCCTGTGGGTACATACATACATTTCTGAATCAACTTCCCATTGGTACACATCATCGTCGAACGGAAGATGATCAAACATTCTGTTATCAGTTGAGCGGACTGATTGATCCGCCCAATGACATTGATTGAACTTCTGCTCCCGCAATACCCACCATTTTTCGATGTTGCAACCTCTAGAGGAACTTTAGCTAGTTTCCAGCCGAATCCCAAATGCAGTTTGTCTGTTTAGTTCTTCCGGTTGTGTCCAGATTGATGCCCTGCTCCTACGCAGACTGAAATTATCTCTATGCGCCTTGACTCTCCAAAAACACAAACTGATTGCGCTCAGAAAAATAATCTTAGAAGTGCGTCCAGAATTTATGTGGTTATGGAGGAAACATATGTGGCACATGAGACGACTGCCACCAGAGCGATACATGTGTACATGCAGGCACACATATGTAGATTCCTATATTGCTTTCATTAATATATGTATGTATACAAAGTGAACATGGGAACGAATGGGGTAGAGTACAATTGCACTAACAGAGGCACATACAACTCGCATAGAGGCGTACGATTCCTTCGAATTGAGCGATATGAGATCGACTCTCGGTCTTTTGTTTCTCGCTCAAATGAAGAGAACAAATAAACATACACATGAGAATATGTTTATGTATACTTGAGCTGTCTGAGAGCTCAATTCACTGCCTTGGAAAATGCAAGCTCATCAAAAAATGTGCAATAGAGAAATTCTTATTATTCAGTAAATAATACTCTATACTAACTAATCATAGCCTCATTTCCGTATAATTATTTACCCAAAATATGGCCTTGCACCTGTTTCAATTTGCAGCTTTCAATCAATTCCCACGAGCATCAACAGGGACTATATATTTACATTTAAGCATGTATATAGCTACAGCTGTATGCACATTTAATTGTCGCAAGCATGCAAATCGTAAAAATGTGACAGAAGTTTGTTTGCCAGCAAAAAGAGGCACAAGCACAGCGCAGGCCAGAATTAAAGTCAAACAAATTTAGCAAACAATGGAAAAAACTGGTTTTTGTTCCAGTTAAGGGCAGGCAGAAGTTACCATAAGAAAGCAGCGGCTCATAGAAGCAGACCCACCGATTCTGGGGCGGGTGAAGGAAACAAGTGCCAAACCGGTTCAATGAACCTGAACACAGCCGTGAGTGTGGATGGATGGATGGATACACACACAAAAGAGTTGAAAATGATTGCTGATGCTTCCTCTTTTATCACAAAAAATGTTCTTTATTATATGAATGCCATTTCTCTACGTAGAGCTGTTGAATAGTTGTTGTTGAGTTGAGCGTATTTGCTTAGGAAACAACAAAAAAAAAACTATAATTTTGGAAAAAGTTGTAAATGGTAAATGCAGTTTCAACTTCCTGGACATTGGAGAGTTGGGAGTGAGAAAAATCGATGGTTACACAATTATGATGTTTACTTATTTAGTTCACATTGATTAAATTTATTATGGGATGATTAAAATCTGCAAGGGTTCTTCCCTTAGTCGGTGGCATCAGTCTTGGCAACGGAGAAGGCCTCGGCCACGGGGATGCTGCCGCTGTTGGCAATGACCACATCCTTGACGGGACGGTCGCGGGCATCGGTGGCACCGTTCTCAATCTTGCGCACCACACTCATGCCGGACAGGATCTTGCCGAAGACAACATGGCGTCCGTCCAGCCAGCTGGTCTGCTTGGTGGTGATGAAGAACTGAGAACCGTTGGTGTCCTTGCCAGCGTTGGCCATGCTCAACCAGCCGGCGCCATAGTGCTTCAGCTTGAAGTTCTCATCCTCGAAGCGCTCGCCATAGATGGAGCGTCCGCCGGTGCCGTCACCCTTGGTGAAGTCGCCGCCCTGGATCATAAAGTCCTTGATGATGCGGTGGAACTTGCTCCCCTTGTAGCTGTGGGGTTGCAAAACACAGACATTGTTGTCCCATTAAGGCAGATAAACAATTTAGTTCATAGAAATTCTCTTTGTCAACTGATTGGCGTCTGAAACGCCACGTAATTGCTAAACTGACTTTGCCTACGGCTAACCTATAAACGTGTGTGCACCAGTGTGCGTGTGCCGTTAATCAAGCGCATCTCATCAACTCACCCCTCGCCCTGTGGCTTCTCCGCCAGCTCCTTGAAGTTCTTCACGGTCTTCTCCACAGTTTTGCCGAACAAGCCGATCTCAATGCGCCCAGCGGGCTCGCCGCCAATGGTGATGTCAAAGAAGACCTACGCAAACACAATTAATATATTATACATTATTAACAACAAAATCGCGTTTGATTTATTGCCTAGACCACGTATGTATGTGTGCAAGCGATGCTAGTGACGCGGTTTTCATATTCTCGTATGTTTATGTATGTATAAGTAGTGTTGGGAGCACAATTCTTACCTTGTCGGTCACTTTCGGCCCCTTGCTCTCATCGGCCACTACAATGCCGGCCACTAGGGCCACCAAAAACACGGATAATGCCAACTTCATAGTTTCAGAATTTTTCGAAGAATGATTTAATCAAAAATTTAATTCGATAGCTTTGATAGTGTGCCCAGCAGCGTGACCGTGACGATAACGATACAAAATACCATCAAGCCAAAAAATAAATACCATTAAATACCATTTCTGTTTCGAGAAATACCATTGAAATACCGTACCATAAGAAAACCTGGGCAGTCCGACGACTTAACCCACTTAAGACCACTCCATTTAAAAAGTTTAGCACCCTTTGTTAAACTGCGGAAAATAATACTGTTTGTAAAGGCTCTTTGTAGCTCCAACCTCCTCTTTACTTACAAAACAAAAATGACCACCAAAATCTTTCACCTGTAATGCGTAAAATTAGTTAAAGGTACATAAATTTCGTGGAAATATTAAAAACCCACCTGGTTGACAATGGGTTAACGTTCTATTTTATTGATTGAAATCGTATTCCATGATTTTGATATTCGGTCTAATATTACTAGCTAGTTAGCCCACTCAGCCCTAAGCAAATAATTTTATCTGATAGATACATCCATTTTCTACAAGATTAGCTAGTCTTCAGTACTCTTTTTTATTGCATTGTTTACATAAAAATGTTCAAACAAAAACGGCCAAAGCATAAAACGAAAATGTTGACTAAATGTGACGTCAGTGTTGCTGGTCAACAAGTTTCTTTTATGCGTATGGGCTTTGGTATACCCTATTTCCTTTAATTGATGTTAAATTTGTTTTTCCAAGCTGATTTGAAACATTAATATTGTATTTGTCTTAGATTGAGATGTTTTTACCTATTAACATCATATGTTTTGTGTTTTATTTATTCATTTAGCCCGGTTCTGATACCTATTATTGAAACTCGTGACTGCAAAATTTCGTTAATATCTTTAAACCATAGACTGAGTAGTTTCTGCATTAATTGGAGCCTGAAATTACAAACAATATATCAGTTCATTATATCCATTTTCCCAAGGTATGCAGATTGTTGCTAATCGTGCCAAAGTTGCAGACAATGCCTATTCATTTCCCCATGTTGCTGAATTTTCCCATCAAAACGCGCTTCACCTGGAGAAGAGCATTGTTTTAAAAAACCACCACGATTTGAGAGCGAAAAGTCGGATTTCTTCACCTCAAAAAAGGGGCATTTTGAAAACCCGACAGTGGGTTAATCGTTGATGTTTTGTCGGAAATCGTATTTCTCATTTTAAAATTCGAAGGGGAATCATTGAATGTTCATGATCTGTCAGGATTAGCTAGTTTTCAGTACTCCTTTTCATTGAATTGTTTACATAACAAGGTTCAAACAAAAACGGCCAAAGCATAAAACGAAAGTGTGTTCAGGAATGTGACGTCATTATGGCCAGCTCTGAGTATCGACATTTGTATACCCTTTTTCCTCTAACTAATGTTCAATTATCGGTATTTTTGTGCGATAAGCGGAACCAATTGGCGCTTTTTTTTGAAAATAACAATATGATAGCCGAGTGTGACGGTAAATTGCAAAAATGATCGTAGAGGTCGTAAGCATAGTTTCACAGCAGTCAGAAACACAGCCGCCATGTTTAAATGTCCATATCATATTCCGCTGTATTCGTTTTATAACATCTAGATTTTCTCTCAATGGAACATCATTGCCAAAATTTCGATTTTGCCCACATGTACACAAATTTGGCACTATTAAACTGCATTATATTATGAAGGTATGTATATTTATAATAGGCATAATTTCACATAATATTTTGTTTTCTGTTTTTATAAGCTTACTGTAGACGAATGTGTATCTAATGGTATTACGCTTTTTTATCAGAGAAGTCAACAATTATACAGCCAAGCGAAGTGGAAATATCAATTGAATACAATAAATTATAGATGGGTTTCAGCAAAACGTTCTGGACTATCACATAGAATAACACTAAGGGTAAGAGCTAAAGCTATTTACAGAGAATACACTTGTAAGATAGTAATAAATAGTTGTACGTAAAATCGCAACATAATATCCAACTGAAAATGCACAAACGAGGGAAACACAATGCAGATGGGTGAGATAGGAGAATACGTTGTGCACGTTGTGTTGTCCCTATAGATTAAAGAACGATTCGAAACGAACTCGTGAACAGCCAAGTTTTAGATTGCATTACAATGAGCAACATTCCATGTGTGCAGAACATCGTTTTTTTCCACCGCCGCTTTCAATCGCTGTTGCTAATCAGCGACTCTTGCTGCTCATCGTCATTGACTCTGTAGGAAGAAATTCAGATTAGTTGGGCGACCTTTAATATGCTGATCGGAGGACTCACCTAACAATGCTCGGCTTATGGCAACGACAGATCTTTCTATATACAATTTTGAAGAGTTTCGTAAGCGGATCGGTATCATCGTTACGCATCAGCAGCGCAACGAGTGTCAGGGCCAGAAATATGGGTATTGAACCCACATAGAACATGTGCGAATACGGCTTATACTTCAGCAAAACATCAAATGCAATGGCCAAGGGAATCTGCAGCGACATGGCCAGAGTGCCAATCAGCGAGGAGGTGAGAAAGCAGCCCCACAGCCATAATGCCTCCGCGAGCACGGTTCCTATTAGTCCGTTCAGAAATAGCAACGCAAATTGTCCCTGATCGGGCACTTCAAATGTTTCGATCTTGGTGAAATGCAAAATGAAGAAAATCGGCCACAACAGCATGAGATTCCAGAGGCCAACGAACCCTACAAGAAAGATACCAGTTAAGCAGGAGATAACAGAGTTCATTTGATTGCATTGGCTTACCGAAAAACAAAGGTATATCGACCTTTTCCTCGGTATCACTTTTTCGTTTGACGAACACCAGGTACGAGGCGTAGAAGAAGGCGCTGAACAGGGCCAAGAGGACACCCCTTGTCATCTTTGTGTCGTGCAGATCGTTTATTGTTATGGCCACAACTCCACCAATGTTCATGCCGACAGCAATCAGTTTGGTGATGGTCAACTTGTCACCTGTTGCCGAGGGGAAGACGGCCGCCAGGCAGATGATAAAGAACGAAGACGTAGAGCTGACAAGTGTTATCATGGCTGTCTCATCCATTTCCAGGGCCAGCTGAAAGAAGTAGTTGGCCACAAACCAAAGTAGACAGAAGAGCAAGGCCGTCTTGGCTGTCTTGTGGTGGGTCTTCTGTCGCCTGATGCGCAAGCTTGCCGCATAGGAGAGGCGTGCCAACAGTGCATCGGTGGCCTCATGGGGTGACATTTCCCGGACCTCTGCCATCTTGCTGAAGCGAACACTGCGCACACTGGAATCATCGCTCTCGGTGCCGGACAAGGTGTTACCGCTGCCATTGACTGTCGATGCCAGGTGAGCCGATCTAATGGGCACATAGGTAGGATCTCCCTGCGGTAGAGCATAGTTTTCAATACATTTCGTAATTAACTGTACTCGTACTACACTTACCAGGACAGCCTGATTGGTGTAGTAGTTCTCATCCTCGACATTCTGCTCCATCATCTGCAGGAGACGGGATTTAGTAGAGGAATAAGTAATTGAATATTGAATATTTACAGAATAAGTTCCGTTTTGACGTTCGCACGATTCTTTCCATGGCGCCAGAATTCCTATAACTATCAGGTAAATACTGAACATTGACGTTTTGAAATATGTGCAAAAGAAGGGCTTATCGAACTTGGCCTCATTGTACAGAAACTGCGAAATAAACGAATCAAATTCAATTAGGTTACTTTGTTCATTTATCTATAGATGGTCCGAGTGGGGTACCTTGGTGAGCTCACTGGAGGAGACCCAGACGATGTCGACTAGTATCAGTATTATTATGCCCAGTATGAGCTTCTGTGTGCGTCCCAGCATGATTTTTATGACTTATCTTTTCGATGGGCTTGCAAACGTATGTTGCTGTTTGTCGGTTTAGATTTCGCCTTCAATTGGTTATCTAAATGCCAATAACTATTTACGCTTGTGCCGCCAGCTTTTCAGTTTCATTTTGCAACTCTTTCAGATTTCTGCTATCCTCTTTCCAAAAATTATCAAATGGTGGTTCGCTCCAGGCGTCTCTATATATTGGCTCTCACGTAGATTAGCGATGTGGTCATTGCAGCTGAAACGGAAATGGGCGGTAGGTTAACGGCAGGTTCGCAGGTGCATTTATTGATTTTGTGTGGGCTGGTGGGTGTGGCAGCTCGAGGCGTGAATTAAATTTTAACGGTAACACATTTGAGCAATCAATCAAATCATCGCAAAAGAGGCACAATTTGATTAACAGGCCAATCACTCAATTCAATTAGCGTCTGCTCTCCAGATGACTTAATTATAATGCCAAGCTAATTGGTTTACTATTCAAATAAATAGCTACAATACAAATAAATTAGGATAGATAAGCGACGAATAGAGTAAATATTTTTCCTGGTACTCTGAAATTCTCGATTGGCTTCAATTGTTTTGGTAGTAAATTGTACAGCAAGCTATCAGAGGGGGGCGGGTATGGAATGGATCCCCCCTGCTGATAACAACATCGCACGGAAAAACAAAATCAATAAATGGTCGAAACGTCCGAACATCTTCAATATGGCAGAACAGCAACAAGTTTCTCCATTGTGCCTGTGCTTGTGCGTCCAATTGATATTGAGCCCTATTTAACTAGTCACACAATTTCAGATGTGGTTACGCTTGGTTAATTTATGCAGTTGCAGTTCCTTCTTCCATTTACCATCTATTCTATAGGCATTTTCCAGGTAAGGTAAACCTTGTTTTTCTATTTGCCTGCTGCTGCCACGGCGTTTGCTTTGATTGTTTTCTGCCTAAATGTTAGTCGTTCTGGGGCTCACTTGTTAGGCGGTTCTCTAGGTTTTATCTCGTTTAATATTTTATTTGTTTCCGAGTTGTCTCACACACACACAGCTGATTTTCGATAGAATATATTATTTCAATCGAATGGTAGCTAGAGTTGCCAGGTAATTTTCTGAATTTGGCCGCCAAAGTCAATTATTTGAAAATTCGACAGGAAAACAATCCAAAAAGGAAAAACAGGACAATAGCCTGCCTAT